TATATGATAATATATATTATATACTTTATATATTTTATTATTTATATTTTTCATATTTTTATTATATTATATTATTAAATTATTATATATATATAAAGAGAGAGAGAGAGAGAGGGAAAAAAAATAAATATAATATAATAAAATAATTTAATAATATATATAATATACAATAATTTAATAATATAATAATATAAAAGAAGAAGAAGTGTATTTTTCAGGTATACCCCTTTAGGGTGTTTACCCCGTAGGCCCCCTCCCCTACATGATATAATATAATAATATAATATATTTAATAATATTATAATTCTATTAAATATTATGTAATATAATATAATATTTATAGAATATATATATATATATATCTGTCAAAACATTGACACATAATCTTTTATATTAAGTTACTCTCTTTGATAGAGAAGAGTATGCGAAGTATGATGGCGTGGTCGGTAGTACTGGTACGTCAACGCATTGCTAAAATGCTTTCTATTATCCTGCTAAATCAGCTTATAAAGCCTGATAATGAGCCGCGTGAATTTCAAGCGGAGATAGTTGGCCTCCTCGTTCAAATGCGTTCGTACTAACTATACATAAGCTGCATTATGATCGTCGTAATACTACCTTATCTATCTCTATCTCTATCTCTTTCTTTATTTATTTCATTCATTCTTACCAATGAATAGATTTTTTTTGTTTTTTTGTTTTTTTTTTTTTTCATTTTGTTAATTTACAACATTATCAATCTATACCTAATTAATTATTATTATTATTATTATCATTCGATTGTGTTAAGTAAATGTTTGATTTCAAAATAAACCAAATGTTATATTCGACATTTTAATCATTTTTATTCGTTTCATTTTTTTTTTTATCGTAACGTATTTTGTATTTTATTTTTTATTTTTAGAACGGTATATCAAAAAAGTATATTGACTATATATATATATATATATATACGTATTCGTTCGATCGTAAAATAAATCTTGCTAAATGAAAAGAATGAGAATAATATTTGTTCAAGGTATTTTATGAAATTCTTTTTGTTCAATCAGTTGTAGAAATTTTTTTTTTTTTTTTTCTTAATTAACGATAACGACAAAAAAATATCGATTATTTGGAAAGAAATGAAGCTTGATGAAAAGTATTTTTTTTTTTTTTTTTTCTAACGATGAATAATAATACGTAGTATAAGAAAATGATAAAAGACACAAGATGGTTCAAAAAAATAATATTTACATGAAAATACGTTTATTGATTTAATAAATAAGCAATAAAAAAAATTATATAAGTACGTTCTAATCATAAATAATAATAAAAATGGTATTATTAACCTGTAGAGTTCTATGGACGCATATATGCGTTTGGTAAAAATTACTAACCTTATCATTCGAAGCATATGCGTGTTTGTTAATATTAATGTAAAATAATGTAATGTTTATATTAATTAATTAAATTATATTCACAATAACAAAAAAACTTTAATTATTAAATATAATTTATTATTAGAATCTGATTAATAATAAATTATTTTGTTTAAAAAACTGTAATTATTTAAACTTTAATTATTAAATTTAATTTATTATTAGAATCTGGTTAATAATATATTATTTATATGTATATATATAATAATATTTAATAATACTTATTTATAATAGTTATATAATAAGTTATTTAATAATATTAATTTTATATTATTAATTTAATAATATAATAATAATATTTATATTTAATTTATATTATTTATATTTAATAATATAATATTAATTTACTTATTTAATATTATTAATTTAATAATATTATTTAATATTAGTTAATAATAAATTGTTCCAACAAAACACTTCACTTAAAAGTATTCACCTTTCAAAGGGTTAATATTTTACTTTTATATATATATATATATATAGAACAGAAAAAATATAATTAAATAAATAACATAATATTTAATTAGAATCAATCGAAGGGTTAAGTATAAAATAGAAAATAATAGGAAAGTGTTTGTGTATATATATTTGTGCATATATATAAAAGATAAGCATTATGACGAGATAATGCGCAGGTCTATTTGAAAAGCGAGAAGAAAAATAAGTATAAGAAGATTATCCGTGTTAATTTCACGCGTGATGAACACGCAACAATTCTGAACTTCGAATAAAAGAAGTTGAAAACAACGCCTACCCACGCGCATGTGACTATTGCGTTTGATTTATTACACACCAACTGTATATACATATATACATATATATATATATAAATAATGCTTTAAACTAACGTTGTAAAATCATTCTTCGCAAGCACGATTATACGAATAACTTTAATAACGATAGACAGAAAGAGAGAGATTCAACAGGCTACGAAGGTTAAAGGTTTTTAAGTACTATATTAACACCCCTATGATGTGTGAACATGCATGTTGTGTGTGTTCATAAATGTGTATGTGTGTATTTGTACGAGTTAATATCCTAAGGTTAAATCTAAATTTTATTCGTATCAATATTAATTCGCCATCAAATTTGTCTTTTATAACGAAAGATAAGAACAACTTTGTTTTTTTATTTTATTTCTATCCTCTCATTTGCATTTGATTTCAATTTCGAATTTGTTTTATTCACACAATGATAAATGTATTTTTTTTTTTTTTTTGGGTTTTATCCATCGTGTGAGATATTTTTATACTTGAGTAAATATCACGTTCTTTTTATAGATCGATAAATCGTTCGAAAGATATACGTTTGTTTTTTTTTTTTTTTTAATTATATTATAAACAAAAAAGTAAAAGTGAAAATGTGTACATAAAACAATTCGTTTTTACAAGATTATTAATGTACTGGTTTAAAAATTTATTTGAGATTTGAATGATCGTCAGAAAAATAAATTCTTTCGATGAAAATATTTTGGTATAATGTATTTGAATTTTAAAAAACAAATTGCGATCAAACAATCTATCATCATTATCTTGAAATTGTTTGATACAATTTATCAAATTTTAAAAATTATATAAAAAAATTTATTATATATGAAATATAATATTATAATAAAATATAAAAAATAATTATTTATATAATATTTATTTTTTATATAATTATTATTTATATATTACATTTTATATTTTATATAATTTTTAAATTTTAATTATTTATTTAATTATGAATTTTTATTTCTATAAATATATATATATATATATATATATATATATATATATATATATATATATACATGGTTATATATATATATAATTAATTATAAAAAAAAAATTTTGATTTATTTATTTTATATAATTCTTAATTTTATATAATTATACATGGTGTTCCAATTAGAAGGGACCTGAAAAAAAAAATAGGATACGAAGACCGCGAATGGAAGGTCGCGCTCAGGGACGGGAACAATGGCGGGATTTGGTATTTGCGGCAATGAACTTTTGAGTTCCTAATGTCAATTAATAATAATAATAATTATATAATAATTATATAAAAATTGTATGTGTTCGACAAAATCATTTTTTCAAGATTCAAAAGAAGAGAAAACCCCAACGTACTTGTTACTGATTCGCATTAATATTAAAGTATGTCAAACATGTTTTTGATTTACGATGTCAATTTCAGTTGTGATTCTTTTTTCTTTTTTTTTTTTTCTTTTTGTTTGCACTTACCACGACAGATTTATTAACGTTTATACGATACGATACGAATAATAATAACCTGTTTTACTCTCTGAATCGTTATTCATCGATATCTTTCAAATTACACCACATAACACACACACATACAAACATTCTTGTATACATTCTTGTATACAAAATTAAATTCAAAACAAAAAAAAAAAAAAATACGGAAACAAGAAATGATCATAAATCCTGGACATACCTTGTTTTATTTTTATTTTTTTTTTTTTTTTAATTTATTTTCTCAGCGCATACCATTATTCGATACATTTTGTCATAATAAATAATACATCATTGTAATTAATTATTCTTTTCTTTTTTTTTTTTTTATCATTCCATCGATAATCGTAAGATTAATAAGAATAACAAAAAAAAAAGAACTATAGCGAAAGATTAAACTCGTATTCCATTATTTCCTAGAAGTTAATTTACATTTTCCAACGCGTGTATGATAATTGATAATAGTCAATGAATGGAGTTTCCTGTTCGTGCGCGTACCAAGCAGCAATTTTTGCAACAACTCGGCTCGAATGGAGTTCGTTCGTTCATACAATCTATATATATATATATATAACAACGAAAGAGAGAAAGAGAGAGAGAGAGAGAGGTGTGCTATCGAAACGATACAGCAACATATTTTTGCATACTACTTGCCGGTTGATTGCCCCCCCGAGCACGTTGATGACGTCAGTAACGTTTTCGATGACTCACATTATTATATGTGATACTGCCGGTTTACACGTAGCACATTTAATAAAAGCTCACACACCTTTTTGTCTATTATGTACGTATATATTATGCTTATTTTCTTGTTTTTTTTATTTTTTATTTTTTTTTTTATTCTTTCTATTTTCCATTCTCTCCCTACGTTCGCCATTATCGTCGGTATTTTAAAAAGAAACACAACTCGTTTGACAACTGGTATCAATACAATGATTTTTTTTTTTTTTTTTTGATATTATTTAGAAAATGTTCTTTTCTCGATTAATATATTCATTTTTTTTATATGCACATTTTTAAATATTAATTCTAAATTACATGAGAACAAATTAATTGAATCATATTGAGATAATAAATCATTGGTTATATATACGTTACTCGTCTTCATCTGTTAAACAAAGATGACAGAAAAGTCGTGTGAAATTTGTTGATGCTTCTGACAAATTTTTCTATCTATCGTTCTCTTTTTATTCGCCAAGGTTGTATTTAAATCAGACTTAAGACAGCTAAATGATAAGGTGACATTAAAATCAGAATTCGTAGTAGGAATCGTTCGAAATATGTAAACTATAAAATGTAATGGCTAGAACGATACTTTTGAGAATTTTGTGTCATCGATTAGTATGCAAATTGTTTTTTTTTTGCAATTCATTTTTACTATGAATATTAATTTATAGTTTAAGAGTATTAAAGAATGCGAAAACTTTTTTTTTGTATTGCATTTGCTTAAATCATATTTCTGTATTTTAGATAATTTTTTACATTGATATGTAATACTACTTCGATATAATATAAAAAAATATAAATTTTATAGTTACATATATTTAAAAGATTTATTTTTTATTTTTTTTTTTCATAAAAATTACAGTACTGTTTTACCGACAGTGTTTTGGAATATTCCACACGAGTTTATTAGCAATTGAAATTTCTCTCTTACGTATTTCTCTTTCACGTGAGTATATTTTTTCTTCTTATCTAGTTTAACCATAAATCAAAATTTTTTAATTAATTATCCTAGAACGAATTTATATATATATATATATTTAGTTTGAAATTAACAGTTATTTCTAAATCTCTGTAAATATATTATATTATAAAATAATATTCCAAACATGAGAAGATAAATGATAAATAAAGGAGAGAAGAAATCGATGGACAAGAAACATCGTTTAGTTTTTTTTTTTTTTTTAGCAAAAAAGATAGACGCCAAGGCGTAAATTGAAAGGTTAACATTTTTATTAATTTAGGAACGTCTACTTCGTACATATATATATACATACATTGATAGATATATGTATATAAACACATATACAAATAGATATAAGATATTCATACTAACTTGTTTTATGTTTTCTTTTTCATTCTTTAAAATCCTATGACAAGTTTGATCAAAAGTTGAAACTCAATAACGGTGATTCGAGAACGTATTAAAAATTAAATAATAAAACAAATATAAAAATATTATAATAATATAAAAACATTCTTGATTACAATCTAACAGTAAATTTCCATCAATTATCATAATCATCATCATCATATATATTTATTTCTACGATTCTTTTTCTATCTTTTTAATATTCACAAGTAATAAGTAATAAAGAGATACTGTTACACAATAAATGATTCATAAGCGCAAAAAGAGGTTCAAAAAGTGGGCATCAATTTACAGCTTGTTAAGCCATTTGAAATCCTATGGCAAACAGCATGTCTCAGCAATTAACACGATTTCATTCGAGCAAAACTTGTTGTCTTAGTTAAAAAGTTCCTAAATTTTTTATGCCAATTCAGACGAAATTTCTATTTTCATTGTTCATTGTCAATTTGATGCTATAATATTTTCGTCCTCTTCTTACCATCGAATACAATATTGCATAACACAATTAATCAATCACTCTTTTCTTATCTTTTAATGTAAACGCTAAACAATTTTATCTGAAAAAAAAAAAAAAAAATAATATTCTTAAACGTACATATATACATATATACGTATATGTATTTAACAAGTTTTGTTTAAAAAATATTCAAGATAAAATAAGAATTGAGTCAATTCAAAGATGGCGATCATACGCCATCTACTGATCATCATGGCGGACGTACGAGAAACTTCACCGTTTCGAATAATTTTCTTTCGATTTATACGTAACGAAAGAAAAATATTTCATAAAAATTGAATATTTACAAAGATCACATTGGCATCGATCTACTTTAAACATCTCGCTGACGTAAAAACAAATTTCGCATATACTCTATTACATAACATTCAATAAAGAACAAAATATGCTGATGCTATCATAATAAATAAACCAAATTTGTGTTACGTTTCGAACCTTATCTCGTATTTTTAATTATTTTTAACGAATAATATATATATAAAACCATTAAAATGAAAACACGTGCAAGAGCTTACCAAGGTTACAAATATTGATAACATGAAGCAAAGAACTGCAAAGAACACCAGCAGGCAAATGGCAATTGCAAATATGTTCGTGTAAATATACGCCTTCAAAACGATTCATTATCATCTTCATTCTTTGTCTTTTTATTATTATTTTTTGTCATTTTCAATTTTTATTTCTTAAAGTTCGCAATATTATAATTATCTTTTTTTGAGGTTAGTCCATAAATCATATTTCTAATGTACTCTTCTAAGTTTATAAATCTAAGTGAGTAATTTTTCAAAAAATACAATGGTATATTCCATAAATAAAAAAAATAAAAAAGAAGCAAAAGAAGAAGAAATAGAACTACAAATATTATTCTGTTCATTTATTTTCTATTTTTAAGTTACACTAAACCGAATGAGATTCTTTTATTAGTTTGATTTGTTACCAACAGTAGAATCTCAATATTAATGTTGGTATAGTGTTAAGGATTTTATTTGTTTGTTTCATTCTCTTTCTATTTTATCATCATCATCATCATCATCATCATCATCATCATCATCTTTCTTCTTTCTTTCTTTCTCAATCATTCTCTTACTCTTTCTCTATAAGTACAATATAGTATTTTCTTTCTCCCTCTCTTTCACTCAGCTCGAAGAGTATCGTTTCATCTCTTCTCTTGAGAAGAACATTTTCGAAGAAATTAAAGTGGGGATGAAGTCTGGTCGTATATAAGCATTCTGCACTCTCGTCTCGCATTGGTTGTTCCCCAATCCGGGCAACTTTTCCAAGACTTGGCAGAGCGGACAACGTAAGTTTTTTATTCATCTAAATATTTAACGCTAGTGATAATTAAATTAAACAATGTTTTTCTAGGATTGATACTAGTGTATGTGAGAGTTTGTGTATCTGTCATGTTTGTGTGTTAGTTGGTGTATGAACACAGGTATCTATGTGTATTTGTTTTGTGCGTTTACAGTGTCATTTTATAATTTTTCTTCTTTTTCTTTATTCTTCCTTTCTTTTTTTCTTCTTCTTCTTCTTCTCCGAGAAAAAACGAGCATCAGATAAAAATTCAGGCTAACCAATCATCGTTTTGTTTTCGTAAGAAGACAAACAACTACTCCTGTTGACCTTCCTTTTTTGGATTCATCCAATTACGTCGTTTTTATTACGAGATATATATCCGCACTCACCAAGAGGAAACTTCCATTGTGAAAATATATCAAAGAAAACGAAGTAACCTATCCCTATCGTTGAACAAACTCAATTAAAATGGGGGATGAAAAATGAGTCATCGTTTACTCGATCTTATCATTACTAAAACAATCCAGTTAAAGTAATTCTTTGAAACAATAATCATCAATTTAATAATATACTTAACTACACATTTTGTCACGATTGTTAAACAATTATCGAATAATCATCAAATTTCCGTGTCGTTTTAATGAATGAAAATGAATGTATGACGATAAGAATTTTCTTGATTGAAACACACAACGATAAGTTAAGATCAAATTAGAAAATGAATAGAAAATTCATTCTTAAATCAATTCCGATAAAAGGTAGATGATAAGAAGATGGCTTTTGTTTTGTTTTATTTTCTTCCATCCTGGAAATTTCTTTCCCTCTCTCTCTCTCTCTCTGATTTTTTTCTTTTTTTTTTTTTTTTTAAATTGGAGAGTAACTGTAACACATTCTTCGCAGATTCAATTGCTGATCCAAGGACAAAAAGATGATCACGTGATTTATCTCTTCTTCCACCCCGAAGACAACATCTCTTATTTTTGTTCTCTCTATCTTTCTTCTTTTCTCTCATCGGATCGCTTCATATTTAGTCTTCAAGATTTAACCGGTTAAAACCGCTCTTAAAGATTGCAATATTTATACTACAGAGGGCTGGAATAGCCCGAACAAGCGGCTAGTTTAATCGAACCACGTGCTCCTAAGAGCTAACAACAACCAACAGCAACGTCTAACTTATTAATTAATTGTTTGCGCGTTCACTCGCTAACTTTTACTCTTCTTCTTCTTCTTCTTCTTCTTCTTCTTCTTCTGATTCTGATTCTGTTTCTTCTTGATCTCATCTTCATCTTTTTTATTCTATATTGTTTATCAGAAAAACAAAAACAAAAAAAGAACACCACTTCGAATTTGTTTCAGGATCAAACAAAATGACGAATTTTTAAAATATACAACTAGTTTCATCATTAACACTAGATATACCACCATTTTCAGTATACCTATTTCTATCACGCTAGTCAAAATGACTGGTGTATAAAAAAAAAAAAAAATGCTTTTTAAGGCTTTTTTGAGTATTTATTTACTTTTAAAAAATATTTAAAAAAATGTTTAACAATAATAATTTTAATAGATAAATGAATTTATAGACATTTTTAAATAACAAAATGCTTAATTATTTACAGAACTCAAATGTTACATAAAGTAGAAATTTTGAATTAAAATGACTCGTCTGGTATATCTAATGTTAAACATGTATTTTCACTTATTTTCTTGATTTATTATTCATGTCGTAAAGAATGATTTCTAATTATAGAAATTTTATATGTAAATTTGTTATAATAATATTAAATAACGAACTCTTAATCATGTAAAGTAAAGTATCTTATAAATGAAGTTCAAATTTTTTTGCACATATTTTTTTGTTCTTTCTTATGAATCATCGTATCGTTCTTTTTCATTATTTACGAAGAATACTTGTGAGTGTGTGTTTGTAAAATACCATTTTTACATTAATTATAATCAAAAAATAATGTAAATGTATATTTATACATTAATGATATAAAAAAACAATAATAAATCATTTGATACCTTAATCAAAATTTATTATATGAATATTTAATAAAAAAAAAGAAAAAGAAACTATACCGTGTAATGTGTAATCTTAACATTGACCAATAGTAAAAATACATAATTAGAGTAATTGTACATATTAGTAATTTATATTGATAAATTTTGAAATATTATACTATTGCTTTTATAAGCTTTCGAAAAAAATAATGACATATATAATATGCAAATATAATTTTATAATTACAAGGTAACAAAATGCATGTCATTTAATGACATTTTTTTCTCTACGTAATTGCTTGATAAAATGCAATCTTTATTATTAGAATATTTCGTTCAATACATCGTTAATTTCACCCTAAAATCAGAAATTCTAATATTTCTCGAGTTATCGAGTATTCGTATAACAACATTTAACATTACCACACAAGTAATCGATAAAAGTTCTATTGCCAATTTATAATCTTTTTTTTTTTAACAGCGTTGAACTATAAGCAGAGTCATTTGATAAGACAAATCAACTATAGATTTTTAGAAATTATAATTTACTATCATTTTTGAACTATTTGTGATAATTGATAATCACAAAAATGGTCTCTAACTCTTATCATAAATAATATAATAAATATTATTATATTAATAATATATTATATAATAAATAATTAATAATATAATATATAATAAAACATCATTGAACAACACCTTTTATCAAAATTAATTTCTAACCTAAATTTCAACAAAATATGCATCCCATAATAATTCATTATAATAAATATATACATTATATATATTTATATTTATTATACATATATAATAATAAATAATTAATAATATAATATATAATAAAATGGCATTATACAACACTTTTTATCAAAATGAATTTCTACCTTAAATTTCAACACAATTTGCATCCCATAATAAATTCAATTTCATATAACTTTTTACGTTCATACGTTGTAGTCAAAGTGTTTAAACAATTGTAATTACAATTTTTCTTTCAATTAAAAACAAATGATGTTTACAAGATATAGGTCAGATAATTTATTGATTCATTGCTACCAGTAACCTTAAAAATATCTCTTATTTTAATCGTCCTTCATTACTGGTAGGAGGTAATCCTTGCTCCAGTCAGCCAAGGTCACTACCTGTATACTTATATATAATTTTAAATACGTTGATTTTTCTTGTTTTTTTTTTTCTCAATGAACATCGTCCTTCTGCATTTATTTATTTTTTTTTATTTTATCTTCTTTCCTTTTTATATTATTACACTATATTGCTTTTTGTTTGGTCATGGTCAATCCGTTCGACCTTACCAATCATCGTTTCCTTTCGTCGACTGAAAAATGTATTCCTGTATTTCTATTTTCGTCACATAAGAATTGTATCTTCTACATAGAAAGTGTAATGTATCAATTCAATTCAATGAACAAACAAATCTGATAGTAAATCATCAATGATAAAGTATAATTTGATAAAAATGAGAAAAGAAGAAACAAACAAACGTTAGTTCAATATTTCGTCACTAGGGGTAAAGCCCCCATTTCTTAAAATGGAATATACAAATTGCCACCATGTTGACAAGAGTTCAAAAGTAATTAAATATATTAATTGTTTAAATTATGAATAATTTATTATTTTATTTTAAAAATGGACAGAGAGATTTTTCCAGAAGACCAAATAATTAAAACGTTTTCTAGGTATTTTCCATTAGTTTAAGAATTTAACGTTGTCACGATATTAACAAACAAATAATAGAATTGACATTGGAAAAAAATATTAAATTTGTATTATTAATTTAAAACCAACGTATAACCAAAATACAATTAATTTTCAACGTTAAATATTACGAAAAATTCTGACCGTTCAAACAAACATTAGTTCAAGTTTTCATCACTAGGGGGTAAGGCCTCCATTTCTTAAAATGGAATATACAAATTGCCACCATGTTGACAAGAGTTCTAAAGTAATTAAATATATGAACTGTTCAAATTATGAATAATTTATTATTTTATTTTAACTAATAGACAGAATTTTCCGGAAGACCAAATAATTGAAACGTTTTCTAGGTGTTTTCCATTCGTTTAATAATTAACGTTGTCACGATATTAACAAACAAGTAATAGAATTGACATTGGAAAAAAATATTAAAATTTGTATTAATTTATAACCAACGTATATAAGACAAATATTTATGTGTTTTTCTTTAGTTTAGAATATTTAATAACGACAGTGTTAATGTAAATGTTTTTCATTAGAAAAAAAAAAAATTATAAAAAAAAAAAAACAAACTGAAAAAGATAACAATAATAAATTGTTATTTATGCAAGAGTAAACAAAATGGTATGTAAGAATCAATATAAAAGATTTGCAATATCTTAGAGATGTTGCATTATGAGAAAAAAAAAGAGAGAGAAAGAGAGAGAAAGAAAGAAAGAAAAAAGTGTATACTATAGTAAGAAGGATAACAAGTAATATATCGCTTTAGTCAGAGTTAGGAGGTGGCAGGTAGTTTTTAGTTGCTTCAACTATCCGACACTCACTTCATCTCCACGCCCCGTCAAACGCGGTTCAAACGTCATTAAATATATATATAATTCGATTTTATTTTGTGATATTTTTCTTTAAAGATTCGTACATGTTGTTCCGTCCAATTATTCAAATAATTACCCTAAAGAACATTCTATTACTTTACACGTGTTTGGTTATATTTGTTCTTCTTTTTTTCTCAAGTGATTTTTCCTCAATCCCACGTGCTTCACTCATCTTCTTTCAAAAAGAGGGAGGAATACAAACGAGTGTGTATTTGATTTACTTACTTTTAGGTTTATTAGATAAGATTAGAATAATGAGAATTGTTTAGGTAAATAAGTTATGTTATCTTTTTTACAACAACAAAACATTATATAAATAATTAACAGGGTGAGTCATCTAATTGTACCACCTTAAATATTTCTTTTGTTTATAATCCTATTAGAAAAATTTCAAAGAACAAAGTTATACTATTACAAGGGAGAGTTTGTAAATTTACCATTGATAGAATTTTGTTCTTTTTAAGATTTTACAGTCAATTTTTGTCTTTTTTNTTTTTTTTTTTTTTTTTAAATGAAATTATATATTTCCCTTGTGCGATACTTTTATAGAACATATATTTGAGATGTTCAAACATCTAAAGATAATTATTAAATCTGTCAACCATAATTATCATTGTTATTTGTAATAATATGAAAAATACAAAAAATGTTTGGTACAAAACTCTCGAATGATAAAAAAGGGGATGAGGGAGGATATATTAGTAATAACAATTTCTTTTACGTAGGTGGTGAAGTTGATGAGATTTCAAGGTCATCTTCATTTTTGTAAATAGTATGACCTATTTCTTTTTTTCTTTTTTTTTTTTTTTTACCACTTTGCGATAGCTGACATTATTATCACGGTTTCAGTAAGCAGTGTCGTCCCTTACCCCCTTCTTTCTGGACAAATTTGTCAGCAATGAGACTGATTATTATGTCCTTGCGAGACTGACGATAATTACTGAGAACGCTTTACTTACAACTCCGTCAACCAACTATCATCGTACTCTCCGTGTTTCGCGTCTCGATTAGAGCTTTCGAGAGTATCGACTTAACCTCATTTCGACACTCTCGTCGTCACCTCTTCGATTTTTACGATGAATATTTTTGAAAATGAATCCGCAGAAAAATGTGTATTTGTTGACAAATTTGAATCCAAACGATATTAATCAAAATCCAAAATTCTAGTTGAATTTTATTTCCTTGTACTTTTTGTTATCTTTTAATGTAGATAATGTAATATTTCTCATAGTAGATTTTTATTTTTTTATTTGTATTATTATTCGATTCATCATCATAGTGGAATAAAAAAAAAAAAAACATTTAATAAAAAGAAAATTTCGATCGCGTCAAATTCAGTTTTTTCTTTTCTTGTAGAATTAATAATTTTGTATTATCAAAAAAAAAAAAAAAATTATTTAGAAACGCAAATTTTTCATTGCATAGGAATTACGATTTCCTTTCTAACATCGTACAATATATTTTTCAAGATTATTTTTTTTTATATGACCAACATTTCAAGTTTATATTGCGATGTTTATATCTAACAAGTTAATTATAATAATACGTCACAGATGTATAAGCACACATATACGCGTATATATAAATAAATTTAGATTTGTGCATAATTCATCGATAATAATGTGCATAATTAATATTCGAAAGTACTTTAGATAAAAAAAAGAAGATAATTCTAGAGCTAATTAACATTGCATAGTTTAGATTGTAACATAATAAATAAATAATTCGAAGTATATAAACAATTATTGATTGAATATTATTTTTTCTACTTTAAGAAACTTTTTATCAATCAGAAAACAAAAAAAAATGTTGTAAAACCAAAAATGATTTAGAAATAGAACATTTAGCATTGTTATTTAGTACAATATGTGTGTATATATGTGTGTCTATGTATGTGCCGCACCTGCAGAGACAAATTGTGGATAGTAATTGAACTCGACCGACCATTGAACTCGATTCTACCACAGATAATTGACGATTCAACAACCGGTGCAATTAACAGCCTCGTGCGACGACCCCGCACACTGTGCCGTATTTTCATCTTCGTAATACTTTCATTCTAATATCCATTTCTATAAATCAACGATCATTTTTTCAGATTGTTCGTTTTTATCTATTTTATTTCTTTTTTTTCGTATTTCTTTCTTTTATTATTTTACCGTCGATAACCAACTTTCAATACTTCATTGATAAACTTCATTGTCTGAATATTGGATAGAAAAAACATTGAAAATAATTCAAAAGATTTTGTATAAAAATAAAAATAAAAATTATTATTGATTAATAATTTTTGAAATATTTAACAAATCAATAATATTATCAAAAAAAAAAGGAGAAATTGTAGAATTATAATTTGTTTGATAGATAAAATTAGATGAAAAGTAAAATAGAAAAATGGGAGACCAAAAAGTAATGGCGTCGTTACTACGCATGTCAAATTATTTCTAATATTTTAAATCCAAAAAATTCCGATTGATAATTTTTATCGTAACAATATTAAAAATTTGCACATACCAGATAGAAAGAGGTTATTAATAACGTGATTAATTAATTTAATTATTGATTAATAATAAAAACTTATTTGTTTGAATTTTGAGGTTAAAAAGTGACGTTACTTTCCGGTCAACCAAATATTATAAAATAAAGATTAAAGAAAAAAATGTGACAAGATTAAATGTGTGTGTAGTTTGAGAAGATGGAACTCAAGAAACATTAAATACAATTGCGAGGTACATGTCAAGCTCGCGGAAGAAGCTGCGAAAACGACGCGCATGATGTCGGCTTGTTAGATGATATTATTTAGCGCAGGATATCCGTCAATGTTCTTCAGTAATCCTAACTCGTTTTCTAGAACGCATCTTAAACCTGACACGCTTACTTCTCAATTACTTACTTCAAGCCGCATAACTCGAGTTAGTAGTATTCCTCGAAAGATAATCATACATTTTTTTTTTCTTTTTTTTCATATTTTTTTTTTTTTTTATCCTTTCTAACAAATTACTCGTCATTATTTCATTTATTTTTTTATTCACATTATTTTTTTCTTGTATTTTTCATATTTTTTTGTTTGTTTATATTTTTGATACAATACGAATGAATGATTGATATAAATTGAAAAATATTAATATTATTATTATTAAATATCATTATGTTTTTAGATTAAATGCATTGTTAAATTGATACAATCTATATATTATATATATTTACTATGAAATTGTTCGTTAATATGCAATTTTAATGAAAGGGGTGTATTTTCATTACTATTCAAATAACATATTATGAAAACTACCCTTCAATGACCGTGTGGCCTAACGGATAAGGCGTCGGACTTCGGATCCGAAGATTGCAGGTTCGAGTCCTGTCACGGTCGAATGTCCCAATTTTTTTTTTTTCTCAATTTTTCACCGTGATTTAAAAAATACAAAATTGTTTAGATTCTTCCAAATACTTAAATATTTTTTTCAACGAAATATTCTTATTCTCTTTTTCTTCTTTTTATTTTTACATTTATAAGTTCAACTTTGATTTCAATTAAATGCAAATAAATAATTTACGCATATAATTAAAAAAATAATCGATTTCATTAATATTGTTGTATTTTTGACGATTCTTATTAAAATGTTCTAAAATTATTTTTTTTTTTTTTTTCGTTAAGATTTATAAATAACACTTGTTCTCACTCGAGAACTAATCAACTTACTTTTAAATGATCTCTAACGGTCCTCATATCTCGGTTTAGCCTCCAAAGAATATTTCTGTTTCAAGGTTTATGAAGTTTCATTCGTAACGATCGGATAATCACAAAAATGATTGAGAAAATTGCGCGTCAAACGAATTGTTACACACACACATATACGTACCTACGTATTTTTTCTATGTATTATATTTCCTCATTTGTCAACCGTAAAAAAAAGAAAACGATAACAATGATAATAATAAAAATACTGTCAATCATGTTGTGCTCAATAAAAATCTATTAGAATTATTTTAGTTAAAAATCAAGATTACATTGATAATAATAAAAAAAAAAAAAAAAAAAAATTAAGAAAAAAACAATAATTAAATGAAACGTAAAAATCAACAATAAGAGAGTTGATTTATTCTTTGTTTTTTTATTAATTATTTTATTTTCTCTCACACACACACACACACACTGTCCACTTGTTTGCCTTTTCCTTGGATTTTTTTGTGTTTTAGTTTAGTTCTGCTTTTTTTTTTTATCTCATTATTTATGATTTCTTAGTATCAACATAAGACTGATCAATAGGTAGAATGTTATAACGTTTATTATTGTTATTATTATCACGTAGCAATAGTAAAAAAGTTTCAAGTCGAGTATTTATTATTCTTCTACAAGAGTAAAATACGAATTAAGTCTCGCTTATAAATCGTTTACTACAAACTACCTTCATTATCCTCTGTGATCATCGGGGAAGTTGCAAATCGTTGTTCTTTAGAACATTGCATCCCACGCTTGCTATCAGTACCATTACAAATTGACCCAGCTTAACCCTCTTGTATTGATTTAATATGTACTACAACACATAATAGTGTTTCACGCATCTACATATATAAAAGTATCTATTTATTTATTGAACAAAAATATCTAAAATCAATCTTATTTATTCCTTTAATTTGTTATTGCACATATATGAAACGTTTATTATGAAAAGAAATATATTAAAATATGTAAAAATATTTTCACATGTGTGAAAATAATATTTTGTTATTGAATAAAATCAATTAATTGCAGTAATAAATTGAAATGCGTATAAATGTGATTTATTTTGATGATTATTTAAATAATATGATTGTTTTATTGTTTTTAGCTCGCGAGTGAGCGCAGAACCTAGCCCCGCCGACGAGCAGCAGCAGCAGATCAGCACAGATTTAACAAGAAGTCTTCAACGAGAGTTCAAGGTCCACTTAATCGTCATCGTCAACAAAATATCTAACGAACTTCATCATCTTACACGAATACTCAGCTACATCTGATAAATTTACCAAGCCAGATTCACCCCACTGCACGGACATCGTAGAATGGTAGAAGGTGAACCCGAATCAAAGCACAACGATAGTAAGTTTTGTTTTTATTTTTTTATTTTATAATTAAAACTTATTATAAAATAAATCATTTTCAATGATATTGGATATTGTTAGTAAGTTAAACGCAATAGTTGATAGAGCTCGCACTTCCACGTGTTACTCGAACGACGTACAGATAAAGAAGAAGGAAAGAAAGGAAGTAACAAAGGAATATCGCCGTGTGCACTGGCACACCTATTCCTGACAGAAATAAATATGGTCGTCAATTACATTGTATTATTTTAAATATCATTCATAAAGTACTAACTTATTTATTGAGAAACAATAGACAATTCATTTGATCTTTAAACAAATAAAAAATAAACTTGTCTAAATAAATTATTTATATAAAATTTATATTTACAGAGTGTGATGTAAAAGACGAGCGCCCAAACGGTTGTGGTTCCAAGGAACTTGAACTTGCCCGTAAGTATAAATACATAATCCTAGATAAATATTTAAATATTGAATTTATTTTTTGATACATTCGATTGATTAAAACGATCCTGACCTTATTCAATCAATCATTTGAGTTTGAAATTTTTTGTTTGGTAGGAATCGGGCCCAAGGATAAGAACCTAGATCCAGAGAAAGGATCCTGCATCAAAGCCGATTTCGAAAAGGCCATCGAACTTACCGGTAAATTTTAATTTTATTTTTAAATATGGTAAATAAACAAATTGGAATAAAATATATTTAATATTTAATTTTATAAAAATATTTAACACGTTAAGCGCCACGTCAGCCATCGGTGACTGACACTAGACTTTACGTTTAGGCCACGTCAGTCACGGGTGATTGACACTTCAAGTATTTTTCAATACAAAATAATGTCTGTGGCCTGACAGAAATTTCCCTAAAAATTCGCGTGGCGATGAATTGAATTCGATTATATTAAAAATGATGTAAAAATGTTAATTATTTTGAAAATTTTGTATACAGAGTATGGCAAGTTTCATTACTTCCTGCTCGCGGTATGCGGCTTCGTCAGTACCAGTGAGGAGATGGACGTAATTTCCATGTCCTTTATCTTACCAAGTGCACAATGTGATCTAAAACTTGATACCCAAGCTAAGGGATGGCTCAACTCGATCATTTTCATTGGCATGATGGCCGGTGCGTACGCCTGGGGCTCCGTTGCGGATGCCTTGGGTCGTCGCAAGGTCCTCATTGCCATATCCTTCATGAATGCCCTTTGCATCGTTGCATCCAGCTTTAGCCAGTCCTACGAACTCTTCATGTTCTTCCGTTTTCTAAACGGTGCAGCGTAAGTTGTAGCAATTTATTAAATTAGTTTTATTATTTTGTCAATTAAAATTTTCCATTTCTTTTTTTATGTTTCCTTTAGACTTGGAGGAAGCGGCCCGGTCATCTGGTCGTATTTTGCCGAGTTCCAACCTAAATCAAAACGAGGCTCCATGCTTTCATTCATGGCAGCTTTCTGGACACTCGGAAATCTCTTCGTAGCTGGTAAGATGATGATATTTTCAATTATGATTACGATTACAAACCATAAATAAATATTTTTAAATAAATAGATAAACAGGAAGTATTATTTTTAAAATAAAATAAAATAATAAATTATTCATAATTTGAACAATTAATTAATTGAATTACTTTTGAACTCTTGCCAACATGATGACTATTTGTATATTCCATTTTAGGAAATAGGGCCTTACTCCTAGTGACTAAAAATTGAACTAATGTTTGTTTGAACGAACAGACCTAATATTATTTCTTTTTTTCTTATCACTTTATTTATCTTTTCTTATTAATTAAGGTTTGGCATGGTTGATCATCCCTCAAGACATTGGTATCACAAGTATAGCATTCACATATAACTCTTGGAGAATCTTCCTGCTGATCTGCGCTGCTCCGTCGTTCATCGTGGCGGGGCTGCTTCTGCTGCTCCCAGAATCCCCCAAATATCTTTTATCCTGCGGAAGATATCAGGAAGCTCTTGATATCTTCCGTGGTATTTATGCCATTAACACTGGCAGGTCTCGCGACAGTTACACGGTAAGTCAATAATTGTTTTCTTTTATTTTTTATTAAAAAAAGAAAACATAAAATGCAGATACTTTGTTTCTGTCATAAAAATTTGTATCTTTTATTTTTAAATTAATATCAATTAGTTTTTTACATACTATGATGATATAAATTAAAATAATAATTCCGGCAGGTAAAAGAACTGATCCTCGATGACTTCCAAGAACCAGAGCCTGTCAAGGCCGATATCGTGGAACGGAGTAAATGTAAGATGATGCTCGGTGACATCCTGGATAACAGTCGTCAATTATTTGTCTCACCGATACTCCGTTTCACTGTCGTCTCCATCATTATAAACTTCACCTTCCATATCGGTTATTATGGTTTAATGATGTGGTTCCCGGAATTGTTTAATCGATTCGACGAATTTCATCGTGACCATCCGGGCCAATCAACATCCATATGCGAGGTCACCGATTACGTTGTTAACAGGGGTTCACATCGTATCGAAAATGTTTGCAATGATAAAATCGGTTCTTCCGTTTTTATGGAGTCACTTATTACTGTGGCTTCTGCTATTCCGGCTAATATCGTTGCCGTTCTGGGAATGGATCGTCTTGGTCGTAAATTTTTCCTTGGTAAATATTCAAAATTCAATTTCTTTTTATCTCTTGTTTATATATTTTTAAACATTTTTCTTCATTATAAGAAAATACAAGGTTAACCAGCAGTTCGTGTATAGGTCAATATTGTTAACACTTTAATGGCCGCACGTGTAAGCAGGCAAACGTCGTCAGGGGTCCAGTAATATTTTTCAAGAATTAATTTAAAAAAAACTTTATTGTCATTTACGAAAAAATTAACATAAAACAAAAAGACAACAAATTTAATTTTATATATAATTTTAAATATATATATAAAGTTATAAATAAAATAACGGCCAATGTGTTCCGGCTATCACACACATGTTGTATGAGCGGCCATTAAAGTGTTAATTAATTTTTAAAATTACCAACAAACTATTAACTCATTGATAAACTTTTTTATTTTAATTTTTAGTGTTCAGTACTCTCTCGTCGGGACTCTGTTCTATCGGATTGTACTTCGTGTACAACAAATATCACAATCTCATTGTCTCGGCCTTCTTCAGCGGTGTTATCAGTTGCGGTAATGCCGCATTAGACTGCCTGATCACTGAAGTATTTCCAACTCATCTACGTGCAACAGGTATCGCAATTTCGATGGTTGCTGCACGTCTCGGTGGTATCATCGGTAATATTGTTATAGCTCAACTTTTGGACATGTATTGTCCAGCACCCACATTTATCGTCGCTGGTCTTTTGATCGGTAAGTTCTTTTTCATATCTTTGTTATTTTTTGAAGATTTTTAGACTCATTTTGTTCACAAATTATTTAATAATTATTTTTTCAGGTGGCGGTTTACTGTGCCTATTTTTACCAAATACAACTCGTGAACCACTTTCTTGACATTGGCTAAATAAATCAACGTTGTGTTGTTCCTCAACGAATCGTGTACAGTCTATCGTCTTACGTGCATTTTATTTCGTTGCAATAATTTTTGATTTTTCCTTACCATTTGTTATTACCTACGACTTGTAGTAGATATATAATATGTTTTATTATTAATATTTTCTTTACATAAGGATCGTCCACGTGCACATAAAAAAAAAAAAATTAATGAAAAAGACAAAAAAAAAATTAATTTAAAAAATAATTAAGTAATATTATATACAAGCACATGAAACTAAAATGGAGTGATTGGAAGAGAGTTCGTTTCGCGAAACAAATATTCGCAAGTATTACTTATATGTTTGTTTATAATGAAACTTTTTAAAAGACGATGACACACATCTCGATTTTCCATTAATATTAATTCTATTAGAACAAAACAAAATTTTATATACATATCTTTTCGTCATCCTTCTTCAAAACTCTTTCTAATGTTACTCATACATAGGATAAAACCAAAAGTTCTTAAATGATGTTTAAATTTAATTACTCTTTTTCTAAACTCTTCAAATTAAAACTAGAAGCTTAATTAAATCTTTCAAATTAATTATAGACTTTTGGTCAACCTTGTTTAAGATTTAAATTTATATATTAACCAATTGAAAAAAACAATTCATTGAAAAGTTAAACTCTGTTTAAAAGGTACAAATATAAGAATTATTTGTGTTAAGAGATTTTGACTATTATATATATATTATATATTTTGTTATACTTATAGATAATATGTTTCATTATTAAAATAACAATCGGTCGATAAAATCTCTAATATTAGAAATAATATGCAAAAATATTCGAAAAGTTGTGGGTCGAGAATGCTCTCTCGGTTCGGATACCCATAATTTCGATTAGTATAGCATATCTCTATTTTAAATATACGTATTACTTATATATAGCGTTGTATAATGCAATAATTATGTTTATTATTAATATTATTATTAATTATTAATATTATTATTATAATTATACATATATATATATATCCCTTTAAAATTTTTTCATATTATCTTTCTACTTTTGAATGTCTCTCATTAAGCATTTATAATTAAAAAAAAAAAAAAAAAAAAAACATCAGTCATAAGAAAATAAATAATAAAATGTAAATTTAAATAAAACATGTTGAACAAAAAATATATCAACAACACAAAGAAAAAGTTTAATGTTGAATAAAGCAATAATTTTATGTGTTCGTAAAAATTATTGTGTATATAACACTGTTCGTACTAAATTGTACTTTAACTTACAAACAGTAAGTATTCAATTATTTAAAAAAAAAAAAATAAAATAAATTAATTGAAAGTATTCAAAATGTTATTCAATCAAAATTCATTTATAAGTTTATTTTTAATATAAAAATATAAAAATTCTTTATTCTTATATCTTATAAGAAATAGAATAACTGTGAAATGTTTATTAATATAAACTGGTGATTATGAAAGTGATGTTATATATTTATTAAATATATTTTAGTCAATTATTAAAAAATAAAAAAATAAGTATATCTGTGTTCTTGAAAAAAAAAAAAAAATAATAATTCTTAGCCATGTAAATTAAACATTTTAAGTATAACAAGACAAAAAATATGTCTTTTGATATCTTAAATGACTAAGACCACTTTTATTATCACCGATCAAGTTAATGATGGATTTGAAGGAATTAAATAATAAATAATAAAGAAGAAAGTAGTCTTAATATTGTTTAAAGTCTTTTAATGCATAAGTATGAATAAAAATTACTCCCTCATCATCTTTTCTTTTTGTCTAGCAAGCTTCTTCTTGCTCAATTTTTTCTTCGAAGGCTCTTCTTCTGTAGCTTTCGAAACAATATCTTCCTTTTCAGTCAATATGACTTCTATATGGGATGGTGAGCTCATGTAAGCTATAAAAAATAATTACATGAATACAATATCAATAATAAATGCAATGTGAATACTACTTTTCTTGTGAATAAAAATAAATCATTGAAAAAAATATTGAAGAACATGAAGAAATACTTACGATTAATACGACCATGGGCACGATAAGTTCTCCTACGTAGACATGGTGCATGATTAACCTGAATGTGATCGATAACAAGACGTTCAACATCCAATCCTCTGTAATCAGCATTACTTTCGGCATTCTTTAAAAGTTGAAGCAAGAATTCTGCTGATTTCTTGGGCCAACGTCCTAAAAGCATAAACAATGAGACTGAATGATCTTCTTCATAATACATTACATTTTTTGTAAATGCAATATTCCAGAAATATTTGAGGTTATTTTATCCTTATAAATCTACCTTGAGTTGTGCCAAATTGTTTAGCTTGAGCACATCGGCCTACTCCACCATTGAACCTTCTGAAAGGAACACACTCTTTATGTTCAATCACATTCTTCAAATATTTTTGAGCTCTACGGAGAGCCATGTTTTTAATAGCTCGTGCTGTTTCATGAGTGTTCTGTAACAAACACAACACCACTGTCAATTTAATATTTTATATCACTATAACTGTTTTTATATATTAACATGTATTAATATATAACACACATCATTGAGATAAGTTATGTTCACAAGATGCAACAAAATGATATTTACCTTAAAGTGCACACGGAGGTTAGAACCTCGTGCTTTGCACGATTTCGTAGCATTTAATGGTTCGTAAGAATAACGACCCATTTTGTTCTGAAAATAAATCACAAATAATTAATAAAAATTATTAACAATACTTAATCGACATATTTTGTGTTCATCAAAAGATAGGTGTCGCAGTGTCGACAATCACGACACGCGTATTTGACTACAAATATATTCACTGTTTTAAACGAAATTACGAAATATATATTACAAACGAAATATCTAATTAGATATTTTGAACATAATAGATGAATATTTGTTTAATTGATAATAAAATAAAACGACAAATGTAAACGGATTCCATAGATTTCACATAATCCGCACATACCTCTTACCACACGGTTCTAACAAAAAGGATGTCTTGAAACGAGCACTGTCGAACTTCCTTTCCGAAAACAGTGCTACCAACTTACTAAAACTTTATTTCAAATAATCCAACGTGAACACAAATTTACAATATAAACTTTTATTTTATTAAAACTATTTATCACATTTAATATAAAATTAATAAAAAAAAAAAACATTTATAACAAAATATAAAAATGGCGTCTAATTATTACTTAAAAACTATATTAAAAAATTTTTAATCTTCGTATCTGTTGAGATAAATATTTCAATCCTTTATTTTTTTTTTTTTTTTTAAATCGATGAAAATAATCAAATGTCATGACTCAAAACGTTTTGGTCGAACCTTCAAAATAAAAATTACATTATTCTTAATACTATCGTCAAATATTTCATCACTTGTAAGTAAAATTTAATTAAGAACAATAGAAATAATACAATAATAATGTTAATATATTTTTAATAAATAAAACGAAACATTTATCTTAGTTTTTTATAGATAAAATCGAAGTTTTGTTGAACGATAGATACGCCCCTGAATATACAATGATTTGTGATCACGGATTCGGTTAAAAGATTATTATAGTTTTTTTTTGTATTTCCCTATTGTTTGGTAAAAGAAAACTTAGATATAATTGATAAGATTATTTTTTTCTTTCTATCTCTTTCTCTCTCTCTCTCTCTCTCTTTCTATATACATATGTATATATATATATTTATATATAAAATTCATTTTTATACTCACAAGTATAAGGTATAATACATGATATCATTTATCGAACTATAGACTGTTCAAGTATAGTCTATGATTTTCGTACTAGCTAAACTGTGTGCGTGGACTATCGTTCGATGTTACTTCGCGGCTCCTGGAAAGAGTCGGTTAACCTGTATTTCCTTCAATAAAATATTGAAAAATATAATGTAAATCAAAAACATTTGTTTATTTCATTAGTTGTATTTGGTGTTGGATTAAAAAAAAAAAAAAAAAAAAAAAAAAATTAAATTAAAATTCAAATTATAAAATAACAAGAAGAGATAAGATATTAACATTTCTTAATAAATCTAACTCTTGTCGAATGATTTAAATTGGAAGATTGACAGATCAATTGAAATAACAATTATCAGTCGAACATTAATTAAATGCAACAACAACTTTTGTAATAACTTTGAAAGGATGTAAGTGTTGTTGTTGTTGTTAACAAAGTTTTTATCAAATTGTATAAATCATTAAGATAAAAATATAAAAATATAAAAGCAAAAGTGTGAAGAAAAAGAAGAAGATAATACTATTGAAAGGAAAGTAATAGAAAAAGAAAATATTAAAAAGAAGTTTTCTTGTGAATTGTGAATTTAAAATTGTGTGAAGAATATTTATATACTTGTATATTATATACATAAAACTGAGATAATAATTCTAGATAATTATCAGTGGAAATATTCTATATATATATATATTTTGTTTATAAATCCATACGTTTATTATATATATATAAATTTGTATATATTTTATATATAATTAATTTGTTACGTTGTCAATACTTTGCATAACAAATGTCAAAAAACAAATTAAATTTGACGTTACCACCTGGCTCGATTGAACCAGTTCCAGCTGTGTCTCCATCACCGCCAGTTCCACCACTGCCTACATATTCAGAACCACCCGTTATGCCAGAGTAAGTTTAATCCTTAAATCATATTTTAATAATTCATTATCCGTTATCTTTAGTATTCCATTTGTTCATTCTTTTATCCTTTATTTCTTGATTAGTGGTGTAATGGGCAAAATGAGTATCGATGCAATTCAAGAAAGATTAGAAGAGTTAGAGATGGATGAAGAACAAAGAAAGAGATTAGAAAGTTTCTTAGGACAGAAAGAGAAGGTAGGAGAATTGTGCGATGATGATTTTGAAAAACTTGGAGAACTAGGTGCTGGAAATGGTGGTGTTGTTATGAAAGTTAGACATAAAAAATATGGTCTCATTATGGCAAGAAAGGTACAATTGTTTTGAAAGTTTATACGAATTTATAAAAAAATATTGTATGTTTAATCCTGTTAAATGTATATTAATCTTTTCAGTTGATTCATTTAGAAGTAAAACCGGCTATTAAAAAGCAAATCATAAGGGAATTAAAAGTATTACATGAATGTAATTTTGCTCACATAGTTGGATTCTATGGTGCTTTTTATAGGTTTGTATACACATTCAAATATATTACTTAAAATCTTAGTTTATCTCAAAATAATTATATCTTCTGTATTATGATTGTTTACAGTGATGGTGAGATTAGTATATGCATGGAATACATGGATGGTGGATCGTTAGATTTGATATTAAAAAAAGCTGGAAGAATTCCAGAACCTATTCTAGGCACTATTACATCCGCTGTAAGTAATACTTGTTATTAATATTCACAAATATATTAGTTTTTATTTCATTAATAATTATTATTCATTTTGTTAAACTTACAATTAACTTTATATACTTAAATAACTATAACTTAAACGAATATACTGAAATAAACTACATACATATGAATTCTTCTAATTGTAATGAAAAAATTAATAATACGTTTCCCGTTCGATAATGCCTCCTGGAAATAAACGAATACAAAGTCTTCTAAGCTCGTCATAGACCCAAAGAAATAGGGCTAGTGGTAGGGAAGGCCAATACCAATAAATATCTAAAGGCATAGTCTTCAATATTTTTGCTGTTCCTGGTATATATAAAAACATTCCTGTTATAATAATTTCGAATACAAAAGAAAAGTTTAAAAACCAATTGTCCATTCCTTGTTGAAAAATAGAATTACGTCTTGTTTTACACATTACTAAATCTACCATTTGTGTTATAACGATAGAAAGAAAATATCCCGTGCGTGCTTCGTTAAGTAAATCCATTCTAGCTTTGTAAGTCCATGTTTGTCCATAAGAATCTTCAAGATCATTAATAGCCCTGTTTTCCCAATCATATCTTAATCCTAACAGTTTATGCGGTAAGAAACCATTCAACATTAAAACCATAAAATAGGTATAGAAAGCTGCTGCAGATTGAGTCATTCCAATTTGACCATAAGCAACAGATATTAAACGTTTGTTAACTAGTTTATCGTATTGAGGATTTCTCGGTGCTCGTTTCATAATATCTGATTCTGCTTTTTCGTACGCTAATGAAATAGCAGGAATTAAATCGGTTCCAACATCAACACAGAGTACCATTTCAATAATAAATGGTAAAGGAATTGCAAATATAAGACTAGCTAACATTGGTAACATTTCAGGTATACTAGATGTTAATGAATAAGCAATGGATTTTTTTAGATTATCAAATATCAATCTACCCTCTTCTATTCCCGTAACGATGGACGCAAAGTTATCATCCATCAGTATCATATCTGCAGCATTTTTAGCTACATCCGAACCAGTGATTCCCATTGCCACTCCTATATCAGCTTTTCTTAAAGCAGGTGCATCATTTACACCATCCCCAGTAACAGCTACAATTTCTCCTAATCTTTGACAACTTTCTACTATCATCAATTTCTGTTGTGGTGAGGTACGAGCGAACACAATCTCTTCGTAATTTCTAATAATATTATCCAGATCATCGATGCTCATACTTCTTAATTCTGAGCCTGTTAAGACTATAGCATCTGTTACAATATCAGGTATTGCAGTAAAAGATTGTTGATTATCATACAGCAAAGTTATTTCATATTTAGTTTCATGTCCTTCACTTATGATACCAACTTTTCTAGCAATAGCCATTGCTGTTATTGGATGATCACCAGTTATCATGATCACTTTTATACCAGCTGTACGACATTTTTGAACTGCTTCTGGTACGTTAGGTCTAGGTGGATCTATCAAACTAATTAGACCAACAAATCTGTAACCTTTAGTTGGAAAGTTATATTTATCAGGAGAATCTGTGTTAAATATGTAATTAGAGTCATATACAGTTCCAGGTAACTGAAGATCGCAATAAGCTAATACTCGTTCACCTAGATATCCTAATTCTGTACAGGCATGTTTTACTGATTGTAAATCAGTTGTTTCTATTTGTTTGGTTAGACCCTCCATAGTTAGTATTGAAGTGCAATAATCCAAGATTATTTCTGGAGCACCTTTCATAATCAATGTGTATGAATCAACATCATGGTGTATGGACAATTGATACTTGAGAGTAGAATTGAAAGGAATTTCAGCAACCTTTGGATATTTTTCACGAAATGCATCTGTAAAATGTATGTGCTCACAGAAACGAAGTATACCAGTTTCTGAAGCATCACCTATAACATCACGTTGTTCTATTGGTACTAAAAGTGTACTTTCTGCTGTAAATTGAGCTCGTAAACAAAGAGTGGCATCTCTCAAGAAATAATTAAAAGCAGGCTTTTCCAACAATAAATCTTTTTCTGCACCAATTTTTTCTATTGGTGAGAAAGTAAATCTGTTATATCCAAACCATAAATGTGACACTGACATTTTATTTTGAGTAAGAGTTCCTGTCTTATCAGAACAGATAGTTGAAGTAGATCCAAGAGTCTCTACTCCTTCCAGATTTTTTACCAGACAATTTTTATTAGCCATTTTTGTGGCAGTCAATGTCAAACATGTAGTTACCGTTATTAGTAAGACTTCTGGCACATTGGCTACAACAATACCAAGTAGATATGTGAAAGCTTTGATCATGTTTGGTTCTAATATTAGAGAAATTACGAAGAAAACTAAACCAAAAACGACAGCGACTGCTGTAATAATGTGAACAAAATGTTTGATTTCTTTAGCAATCGGTGTTTCAACTCTTTGTAAATGTGACGTTAATCCTGCTAATCTTCCAATCATTGTGTCATCTCCTGTGGCAATAACTATACCTATCCCATCTCCAGCAACAGCAAATGAAGAGAAAAAGGCAACATTTGAAGATTCCATAGGATTTAGATCTGTTGGATAGTCCGTACGAGTAACTGGTTCACTTTCACCAGTAATGCTTGAGTTTTCAACTCTCAACCCGCTACATTTAATTATCCTTATATCAGCAGGTATCTTATCTCCAAGTCTGATCTCTACCAAATCGCCAAGCACTAATCTTTCGGTACCAAGACGTATTTTTTTGCCATCTCTTATTACTGTTGCAAAAGTAGGTACCATTTTTGCAAAAGATTCCATAACTTTTGTATTCTTACTTTCCTGTACGAAAGCACATATTCCAGATATGAGACATATTGCAACAATTATCAGTCCTAACCATTCTATTCCACTTTGTTCTTCTTCATATAAATAAGTGATTAAGACTAATAAGAAACATAGAGCAGCGCAAATCCATAATAATGCTGCAAAACCACTGAACATGCAAAGCAAAAATTTAATGTATTCGGGTGTTTGCTTAGGAGGAGATAACATGTTATGACCATATTTGATAAGTAATTGTTGAGCATTTTTCTCTGTTAAACCATTAACTGGATTTGTATTTAATTTCGTGCATAAATCTTCCAACGGAATTATATGATCCGTGGTATCTAATTCTTGAAGAAGTGCTTCAAAGTCAGCTTCAGTTAATTTTTTCTTCGGAAGGTCTAAAGAAGAAATGGTATTGTTCATTTTTGGTCGAAGATTTTTCATTGACATTGTTTGCATCTCAGGCATCTTGTTTCGATAATTATATTTTAAAATAATAATAATTAAGGTTTAATTAATTCGTCGGTACTATATTTACAGCTCAACTCACTTCAATCATGTTTTTATATTGCTCTTCTTTTTTTTTTTTCTTATTCTTTTCTTTTCTTTTATAATTCTATAGGGTATATCTAAAAAAAATTTGATATTAATTTTTGTTCTCAGGTGTTAAAAGGTCTAAGTTATTTGCGTGACAAGCATGCTATCATGCATCGCGATGTTAAACCAAGCAATATTCTTGTAAATAGCGCAGGAGAGATCAAGATTTGCGATTTTGGTGTCTCCGGTCAGTTAATAGATTCCATGGCTAATTCATTCGTTGGTACCAGAAGTTATATGTCGGTAAATATTATTTACATGTCTATGTTTCTTATCACAAGTCTGAAGAACATTTCATATACTAATTATATGTTCACATTTACAGCCAGAAAGATTACAAGGTACCCATTATTCCGTACAAAGTGATATTTGGTCGTTAGGATTGTCTCTTGTTGAAATGGCTATTGGTATGTACCCCATTCCACCTCCAGATGAAAAAACATTAGCATCGATATTTGGTTCACAACCAGGAAGTCAACCTTCAACGGAGACTGCAGCAACAAATAGCGAGCCTACTCAACCAACTCAACAATCACCAGGACATAGTTGGTGTTCAAATTATTAACACAGTATAATTAAATGACTTATTGTTTATATCATATAATGATGATAATAATAATATTATTATTATTATTTATGATCTATAGGTGCTGGTAGCCCAAGACCCATGGCAATATTTGAATTATTAGATTACATTGTTAATGAACCACCACCAAAATTGCCAGTTGGCTTTTTCAGTGACACATTCACAGATTTTGTTGATCGTTGTTTGAAGAAAAATCCATCAGAGAGAGCAGACTTAAAAACACTAATGGTACCAAAGGATATTTCATAATTGTATTTCTGTGTGATATTGTTCTATTATATTATAATATAATATATATACCGACATTTTGTAGAGTCACGAATGGATAAAAACGGCTGAGTCGGAGAATGTTGACATTGCTGGCTGGGTATGCCGTACAATGGACCTTCAACCGACCACTCCAACTCGTTTAGCGAACGTACAATCCTGAATAAATGTAACTCTTACATACTTGACTACTTATATACGCGTTCAGTACTCATAAGTCAGTTATTATTTTCTTTTCGTTCGATTATATTAGACAGTGGCGTTATTTTTTTTTCTTTTGATTAATTAATTTTATGATCATTAATATTATAACTCCATTTTGTATGTTTTTTTTTTGTCTCTCATATAATCTTATTCCTCATTGTTTAAAGAAAGAAACAATTTAATGATGAATAAGATTTAAAAGAGACAAGCAGAGGTTACTATAATTAAGAAAATAAAGTATAAACTTTGACTATAGAATACTCAACAATCCATATGATAAGTCCGTGTTAAAAATTATCATTAATTAATGTAGGGAAAGATATTAACGAGTTGATGAATTCAAGTGGAGAAAAGAAGAGAAAAGAAAAAAAAATATATGGTTTAAATGTAAGACTATATCTGTTTGCATATGTATGTATGGATGGTATATAATATATATATATATAGAGAAAGAGAGAGAGAGAAAAAAACTTATTAATTAATAATCACAATTATATTAAAAATACTTTATGCCATTTAAACGCCACTGCTCTTTAATATATTTTCGAATGAAATCAATTTTCATCTATAAGTTTAGGATTATTCTTCTTCTTATTATTATTATTATTTTAGAAAAGTATGTAAGATATACATGTAAACAGTTATATACGGTATAAGTTTCAAATGAATAAAATGATCAATATACGATGTGTTCCCTGTGATGATGATATTAGGATATTTGAATATATGGATATCAGGTATATGAAAGAAATCATTTGACGAATATTAGTTAGGTCAAGTTATGCATAGAAAATTTGTACCTGACATCCTTAGAATGTTATTTATATATACACATACACACACATATACATACACAAATACACTAGTGAAAAGACTTTGTTCCGCCATTCATTACAATTTCATAGGATTCTTTTATATCATATATATATATATATATGGAATGAGACTAAGAAATTAGAGTACATATATAGGGTGTCTTATAATTGGTGGTACTAGCAAGCAGGAGATAATTCTACATGAAAAATTAAGTTGAAAAATAAGCTTAAAAATTTATGAAGTACACGTGTGCTCGTTTGTACCATTAATTACAAGTATATATATATATATATACTCTTATTGTAGACATTATCAAAATGATCAATTTGAAAAGAAACAAAAGAGCCTTCCAAATGAGATAAATAATTTATATACTCCAGGTTAATATATGATATATATATATATATATATATATATATATATATATATATATATATATATATCAAATAATATAAATCATTTTCTTTCTCGTGTATGTGATTGATTCTATTAATTATTATTAAGTCACAAGATGGAAATCTCGTAATATAAATAAACGTGGCCTCAAATGTAAAATGTCAAAAAAAAAAAAAAATACAAGTCTTTAGTGTGATCTTAAAATATGTCCATGTGTTCACACGAAATATACATATATATATATATACATACATACATAACTTATAACTGCATTTGCCGTATAATTATGCATCAAGTTTTTCCTACGTAATTGAAATAAATTAGATATTTAATAAACTATTTTTGTCGCTTAACGATTAGTTTTATATTCATGGACATTTAAAACAGTTTTAAATATTAGTATCGTTATTATTGTCAAATAGTATCTTGTATGTTATATTTCAAACCATATATATATATATATATACAAATATATATTGTGCGCTGGTAATTATGAAAGTTAACTAATTGTAAGTTAAAAAATTGGTCCACTGTCTTAATTACTAGCGCATATGTGTCGTCTTTTATGAATATTATACGGTTAATAATGTATTGTCATCGGATCCTTAAATTTTATATAATATATATATATATATAAAAGTAAACAAAATATGTATAAGAAAAATAGAGAGGAAGAGAGAGAGAGAGAGTAAGAAAGTAAGAAATTGTGCAGTATAAGATGAAAACAAAAGCCATCGGTCTCTGTTACATACAGAAACGCATACATACTTAATCTATATGAATATAATGAGATAATGTATGTAATGCTATTACAAAAATACAATCGTCTTTTCAATAACCTTTCCTTGCTTGTCTGAAAGACGACTTTCATAAATGTAACTGCAGGTATAGGCAGTATCAGCCTGTTCCGATTTGGCTTAAAATAAATCGGAGTGTACTACAATAAGAATGTTTATAAAACATGATGAACATACTCCTCGTTGGCATGCATAAAAGCGTAAGACGCGAAATTACCCAAAACAGATGTTTCTTAATATATATAATTATAATGATAATGATGTGATGCTGCTTAACGTGGCATATGTTTATTGATAAAAATAATAATAGTAATTATTATTTAAAAGAAAAAAAAGATTTAAAAAAAACTAGAAAGTAATATAAGAACAAATATCGTTTGACTGTTAAAATGTCAAGCAACAAGATGTAACATATGTTGATAGAAAATTTAGTGATATTAGTTTAAAGGTGCCGAAGAAATATGATCTTTTATTATGAATCGTATTATTATTATTATTATTATTATTATTATTATTATTATTATATGTGCAAATTATTTGTTGCAAAAAAGATGTGGATAATTGCAGTTATATTCATTATCTAAATGTTATAATCACACTAAAAAGAAAAAATAAATATATGTATAGAAAAGGTAGCGATAAATAATAAATTTATCCTCTACCATATGTGCATTTGAATTATATGTAATGAAATTTTAAAGTATTGCTGAATGAGTTTTATTTTTATTTGATTTATATCATAATACATTTATATTAGAATTCAATTTCATTCAATTCAAATAACTTTTGCAATTAAATAACTTTTTTTTTTTATTTACTTCTCTTTTAATAGATACTACACAGTAATGATGTTTAAAGTAACAAATAATTTTTTTGTTTGTTTTTCTGTTTTCTTTTTAAATGCTTGTACAAATATTATAAATGTATATAAATCAGTAATCAAAGTTATTCAATTTGTTGGCATTGAATGACCAATTTTTCCTTTTCATTTTTTCTTTTTTTGTTATTCCAATTAGAATTGGAATTCTCTTGATATCTGTCATAAGATCTAAATATTATAATATCTTATATTAATATATTATATTATATGATTAATTTTTAAATATGTACATTCACATTACGTGCACAAGTTACGTGCACGTATATTAAATATCTTCACGAAAGACATACGAAATAATTATTTATAATGTAGGATTTTTGATTTGATTAGGCAATATACAAAAAGGTGAATCCACATAAAACAAGACCCAGTAAGAATATTTTACTGCAAAAAACAAAATTTTTCCCACGGGTAAAGTCATCCATGAGTAGTCTGGCACTTGATGATTCTAATGGGGTAATGTAATAGAAAAATAATCAGATCACGCTGAACATTGGAGCCTATCAACAAATTTTGTAGTTATTCATTAGTATTACGTCATATTGATTATTGGGTTGAAATGGCCTACCTTTGGCTAACAATAATGAATGGCAGTAAATTGAAAATATTTCCAATTAAAACTACATATCTGTAGTGTTGATACGAAGTAACATCAAATTAGGAGATGCATGATAATGACGCGTCACTCTTGTTCCAGCCATGTATATCTTTAAAACAATATTATTGGATCTACGACTAGTAACATATTCAGCCACGGTAATAGTATCATTGGTTATTTGGTCGCAACCAGTGATATCGAGTAATTCCAAGTTAGGCGATTTATGAATAAGGGTAGTTAAGCCTGTATCCAGTATCGAAACACAATACTTACATTCCAGTCGTCTTAAGCTACACATATTGTCTAAACCTATAGCTGTTATTTCATTCAAATAGTTAATTATTAAAGTTTCTAATTTTGGTAAAGTTGCCACAGCTTGTAAACCCGTATCAGTAACTTTATTGCAATCTGAAAAATGAAAATTAATTTTTCATTGTCTTTTTTGTATCTATAAATTATTATAAAAATATCATATTAAATTATTTTAAAGTACTCTTACTTTCGATATCTAAGTAGGTCAATTTTGTACACGTTGAAGCCAAAGCAATTAGAAGAAAGTTGTCTACAAAATTATTTGTTGAAAGTATTAGAGTTTCAAGATTAACAAATTTTGTTAAATGTAATATATTTGAATCTCGGTAATAAAATTCACAAAAATCTACATTAGTTAGTTCGAATTGTTGAAGATTTGTGCAATACTTTGCCATTGCTTCAAGTAAAACACCGATGAAAAATGTGCTCTTATTGATAACCAATTTTTTTAAATTCTTCTGATTTTCTAAGACCTAAATCAATAATATAAAATTCAATTAAATTTATACATTATCTTATGTGTGTAAATGTAAAATCATTGAAAAAATATATGACAAATATTTCTATATATATATATATGTAAACTTACATTAATAAAATGTCGTGGAGTGATATTATTACAAGCAGTTAAAACAAGTTCTTCTAATGTATCCGATGAAAGAAATCCTAAACATTTGCCCGATATTCTCATTTCACGAAGACTCACGGAAGTTAAGCGTTTACACATACGAAATAATAATGATAAATCTTTATCAATTAGAGAAGAAGAACACGGATAAAATGCTAAACTAAGCTTTTTTATATTTGTACAATTATCAGCTAATAATTCTAATCCCGAGGAAGACAATTCGATTCCACTGAAATCAACTATTTCTAAATTAGGACACAATTTGGCAATGATGAGCAAAGTGCTTCGCGTTAAGGACGGATATTTATGAGGAAAATCAATCTGAGTTAAAAATCTACCGCATCTCAATAATACTTGACGTAAATCAGATGTATTAATTTTTTTATAGTCTGATAATATTCCCCACGTATGATTAGAAAGATCTAACTTTTTAACACTATACCACGATTTTTTTGACACATCCTTCCAACGTTGACATACTGAAAACAAAGTTATAATGAAATGAATTATATAAAAATATACGTATCAAACAATTTTTAAGTAATAATAATTAAATATATTAAAAAAAAAAAAAAAAAAAGGAATTCTTAATATTATTTTACCCCTTTCTATGGCAATTTTATCCATAATTGGTAAATAAAGAAAAATGTGTATTAAACAATCATCGTTTAATACATTTATTGAAGCAATTGTAGAATTGTCTACAGTGTCTTGATCAGTTTTATTAGTCGAAGACATTTCACGAGATTTATTCGAATCCTTTGTTGAATTATTATTTTTAAATTGTGTTTTATCCGGTTGGTGCCAAGGATCTGCTGGCATTACTTTTAAATCTCTACTATGTAAATGAATACGTTTATTACTTCCGGCTTCTCTAGCTCTATAAATTAAAATAAAAGAATATTTTATTTTTGATATTAAATTTGTACAATGTTGACAAAAAATTTTGGTCTTACCTGATTGCACCCATAACTGTACTAAACGTAACAAATGCATAATTACTTCTACTGCTTGTTGGATTTAAGTAAACACTCTCAACTTTTCCGTATTCAGAAAATAATGCATTCAAATCTTTAAATGTAGTCTGTAAAAAATCACATTAGTGTTAAATCATTTTTCTTAATATATTAAATTATTATTTTGACAATATAATTTATAAATCTAATTTTTGTTTAAATCATAATTTCAATTTTTCATGATGCAATGACATATATCGGTTAAAGATAAAAATTTTGTAGAAAGATAAGATAAAATGAAATTCAAATAGGGGTGTTGATAGTTCCCATCACGTGTCATTGTTATCGCAGGTATAAACAAAAGGATAAAATATGCGATAAGAGAGAATACAAAACATACCCTTTGTGCTATATTACAAACAAACAATTTCCGTATTGGCGTTCCATTTATTGTTGTTGGCAGTACACCTTCTTCGGTTATTCGATCAGCACCTTGTAGAAAAACATTGAAAGAAACTTACGTTTATGTATGTTGTATGTGTGTGTGTGTGTGTGTGTAAAAGTAAAAGTATATACAACATGTATATAAAAACAAAATTTTTACCATTTTCAGTTTCCGCACGAATTCGTTTCAAAGCTTCGCAAAAGAATTCTATTTTATTCATTTTGAGTTCACAGAGATTTAACTCAAAGGACAATGATCATTTGTGACCTTGTATCGAAGAAGAATTATGGGGTAAATGACATATGAAAAAGAAAATCGTTATACCTGTTTAATATCAAAGTATTTATCTCACTTTTGTCTGAATTTAATTGTTTATTTATTTTAAATATTAAAGATTAAATTTCATTATATATTTAACGTATTCTTTAATTTGTTTCATTTATACAATTACACGTCTTCGCGTTTTCTGACATTAATACTTGTTCTTATATGATTTTGTATCAATTGAAACTGCATTATCAACTGAGAACGTACTTTCTTATGACTTATAAAGTCATCTATAATTTAATTATATATATTATTGTTGTTACAAGTGCGTTTAATTTTGATACAAAAACAAAGAAATTCTAAAGTAATAATGGTCTTGTTATTGGCACTATTGTACAAATTAATTAATGGACAAGTTATTTGACAGGTGAATTTTTGATTGGTTAAATATTCTACTGATCATGATGCTACCTACCTTACCATCAGTATATATTTCATTTTATTATTCTTTTGTTTATCTATCCTAATTTTATTTTTATCTAGGAACTTATTAAATTATTTATTTTAATATAATAACAGATAAATTTGAATAAGATTATTGATAGATTGTTTAGATCAATTTTTATTCTGTCTACATAATCTTTAATATTAATAATAACAATAATAATATTTATATTTATATAAGTCATAAATATTCCACGAAATTTTGAAAAAAAAAAAAACTTGATTTAATTATCATATAGATCTATTTAATCATTTAAAATGAAAAACTATCATATGTCCTCTTTGTGCCAATTTAATTGAAGATAAAAGTTGTATTGTCTAAGGAGTCCCAGATTAAATTTAGATATCTTAAGCTGACCTTTGAGAGCATTGGAAAATTACGAAGGAATTTGCAACGATAAATTGGCCCGTTAAGTGTTGCGATTGGTGTACTTAGTTAAGAGTTGACCAATCATTGAGCACTTTTCGATTCTTTCGGTAGAGAAGAGTCGTAACGCGCATGCTCTGTTTACCGGTTTTAATATCGAGCCTACTTATGAATCGGCGCGAGATTTCAGTAACGCGCAAGACTTCATGCTGTGAGGTTGTGTTTTGAGTAATAAATAAGTACTGAAGTAAAAGAATAATTCAATCAATCATATATATATATATACATATACACATATACATATAAATATACATATATATATATATTAAATTTTGTCTTCTTTCCAAAAAATAAAATACCATAAAATTTATGAAAAGTGTATCTAAAGATATAAAAATTAATCGAAGTGTGTGTTCGCGCGTGTGTGTATGTGTGTGTGATCATCGTCGTTGTGCACATTAGAGCACACTCGCGGAAATGTCATTTTATTTCCGCGACAAGCCGAGGTTCGGTGAAAGATTCCGTGGAAAGTCGGGGGACAAACTTCTTCAAGAGATTCAACAACAATTGGATGAGGATAGCAAATCATTTTTCGAGCCTACAACTAATAATAAGTCGTCCAGATTTCCATTCGACCGGCGTCCCGAATTTCCAAAAGTAAGAAAACAATTTATTAACATAATGCACACAATGTCTCATTCATTTCATACTTTTCGTTCATTTTATTTCTTTTCTAGTATCGAATTAACAATGTTTCTTTGTACTTTAGTCAGTTTAATTTTCATAACACGTACGACACCTTTTACCGAACAATATGTTTTAAATTTTGTATTATTGTTTTGGAACTTTTTGAATTGTCAATAATACTCTTAATATATATTTGATTCTTTTCTATTTGAAATAATAAACTTTGTATTTTAGCTAATTTATTTCTTGTTAAGTGCTTTTAATATATATATATAAAATACATGTATATGCAACGAGTGTTAATTCATATAATTCTGTCTAATCAAATTATTATTTGTCACGTAACACACATGCAATGTGCCAAGTTCACTTTTTAACATTTACGCTTTCTAACAGAAACCATTCTTTTTGGGTCAAACTCACTTTTATTTAAAAACAAGTTTCTTTTTCGTTAAGGCTCACAACTTTTCAACATATCCTTGTGTATATACGAAGTCTGACATATTTTTATTTTTTTTTTATTTTAAAGATTCCGTTAGACCGAAATTTCTTTTATTTATAGAGTGTGTCCCAATTTCTACGGAGTTTCTTCGACTATTTATTCTTGTCGCGAATCGTCTTTCTCTTTCTTTTTCTTTCTCTCTCTCTCTCTCTCTCTCTCTTTCTCTGTATTATTTTAAATGTACGAAAAAAAAGAAGAAGAAATTATTAACTATTATATATATATATATTTTATTTAAAAAAAAAAATACGTTAAAAATATATCTCGCGCCATCTGCGTAACTTATCGTAACTAATTCATACTTCAAATGGAACATAATGTATTAATTGTAATTTAAACGTTTTTTAATGACGAATAATATGAATAAAATATTAAAGTTTAACAATGTAAATGAATTTTTGATTTATATATAGAACCGGAAGTACGCCAGTTGAACACGTAAAACTCGTAACTTGTGTTCTGCATCAATGATAACTTAATTAACATAATTATTCCAGTCATGTTAACGGTACAAAATTTTCGAAGAATTTTCTTAACTTCTTTGTCTCTTTTTCTTTTAATCAGATATTCAAAAGTTTTTTTGAATAATACAAAAAATATGACAAAACAATTTTCATTTGTAATATGAGTAACTAAATTATTAAAAATATGATAGAAACTTTTGATTCACCCTGTATTATCTCGTAAAGGAAAAAGACATCTGTTAAAGTATTTTCACCCTCCTAACTTCCCATAACAAAGGAGTAGATACTTCGTGTAGCGAATGATCAGTCAAGGATCGATCGATATCCTTTTAGTTCCAACCCCTCAAAAGAGAGAGAGATAAATTACTATCTTTGAAGGTCCCTATACATGTGTGTGTGTATATGTGTAGAACAAAAGAATAAGAAAAGATAAAATAGAAGACATTTACAGTAAATACAATTACTAAATGTACAAAATGTAATCAAAACTTTCTAAACATATTAAAATACAATTATGTTAATTGATAAATATGATAACAAATCATTTAAGAAATTTCGGTTATTACGAAATACTATTACGTTCGGTATTTATTTGAATTTATATTTAATTAATAATTAATTTTCGAAATGTTTAACATCGTAACTATTGTAATAACGTTTGATGGAAAGAAAATGTTATCTATATCGTGAATCTTTCTTTGTTAGGAACAAACATTTTGCGAAATGCATATAAGAAATATACAACACAGGAACGTTTGAAACAGTTCCAATCGTTTAATGGCGGCCATCTTCTATGTTTATTGTTAAATATGTTACAATGCTTTTGTTGTAGATCATAAATTAAAAGTATTACATTAGACTTTAAACTAATAGGACTTTTTAACATTTCGTGATCAATTTAATAATCATATAAAATAAAGTCAATAATATTCTTCTAAACAGTGTTGCGAATATAATCAAAATGAGCCCTAGGTTTTGGTAGTATCATCCCTTCTGTGCTATTAGTAATTGGATAAAAGGCATCTGTTGGTCGGTTAAAATGAGATCAATATGATGTGTTGGGTACTCTTTGGAATTGCAACCACGAGGCTCGAAAGTACGTCGTCCACTTGCTAGCATCGCAATTTCGCTGCGTTTTCTAAAGCGGCCTGTGCCGAGTGAGGGCCCCAGAAATAAACTGTTTATTGCCAAATGCCTGCGGGGAGATGATATGCCTCTTATTGCTCTTTCGATGCCTAAACCTTCCAAAAGCTTACTTATCATTTCTCACGATTACTTTCACCGAATATTTATTATATAGGGAATAGAAGTTAGGATCTTTTTATTATCGCCATCTTTATTTTTATATGTGTGTATATTATTATATTTTATAAATATACAGATATTTTAATATTAATATATTTATTAATATAAATATTATAATATATTATAATATATTTTTATATACATTTATATGTATATTATTATAATATATAATATATTTATTAATATAAACTTATATTTACGCCATAATGAAACATATAACAAATCCATATTCCTTTTTATTGCATTAATAAAAAAATATTATACCTATATATAATATATATCTGTATTTAAAATATAAAACAAAGAAAAATTTATATAACAAATTATATAAAATAATTTTGTGCTTGCTTGCACCTTTGTATGTGTATATATATATGTATGTATGCGTGCTTGTTGGTATTTTAATGGCGTATTTCAGTGACTAAAATGGTAGGTTCCATTTCACTTAGGAGGAAGTGAAGATATTCGATAAAGTTAGTGGGTAGACCCTGTTAGCAAAGAGCAGGGTTGCGTCTTTGAAGATTCTTCGACTGCGACGAAAATGGGGGAACGTTCTCGACTTTTCGTCTTCGTCGTCGTCTTCGTCTTCTTCGTCTCGGCGAAATCTCTCAAAATAGTCGCCATTGATTCTCTTTCGCCATTCCACGCGTCGAGTACTTCTTACTTCGATCCAGAATAATCCATGAAATTTTCCCGAGTGACATTTTGCAAGCCCCTACGAATTTTATACTTTTCTTTAAATTTATCTGAGACATAAAAGAAAGAAAAAATGTCAGACGAATATTTTTAAAATTTCGCTCAATGAATTTGATTCGTTCTTGTTTTATAGCGATGACCAATCATCTTTCTTTATTTAAATCATCGAAGTTCTTTCTACGAATCATAGATCGAGTTAATTTAAAGTAACATTTGAATGTATCGAACAAGTCAATTGAAAGCTTTATCGATATTTCGAATTTTATAATTAATTTGATGTCACTTCCGATTAAGATAATTCTATTAAATTGCCAAGTATAGATTTTAGATTCTAGACATTAATAAATAAATGCGTCATATTTTCAATTCTTAGGTATTAGTTTTAAAAGAAAGTTTACGTGTTTGACTTACATTATGAGCGTACATACTTATCGGGAAAACCGTTATATCATTGATTATGAGTATTCAAAGATAACGTACACACACACACGTAGCCTTTTTTTCCACATATACATGTATACCACTATTATTATTAATATTATTTTTACAATACATTAATAATACCAAATATATAATATATAAAAAATAACATATAACTATATAATAAATTATTTTATTTTACAATATTATATAAATAATATTCACATTGTTCATTTATGTAATTTATCAAAGTAATCTTTTATTATAATTTCTTTTTACGTCGGGTGTTTCATTCGAAGGGGTCAAACATAACCGGACGTCTCGTCTCGTTGATGTTAGCCTTTTCATGTGACATCTGAGTCACTAGAATAATTGTACTGTATGGAGAATATCTTGAAAGCACTTTCCTTCTCTCCATTCTCGGAAGTGCATCACTTACTCCCCTATTGCCCCGCCCATTTCTTATTGCTAAGTATCATTCATGATAGTGACAACATTCTTTCATTCTCATCGCTTTCACTCCCTCATTGTCAGTTGACCTTACTATTAAACAAATTCTTTTAATATCTTCCCAATGAACACAATTACGTCAAAATGACGTCAAAATGACGTCCAAATGATTTTGCGCTATGTTAGGATTTACGTAAGATATAAGAATACATTACTTAACATAGAAGAAACAATTATTAATTAACTAACCTTAACTTAAATTTATAAATTCACATATGCATGATTTTGAAAAAAAAAAAAATGGTAAGATTACTTTCGTATTATATGTATGTATATCACATATGATCTACATACATATTGTATTTACCCTTTTTATCTATATACTCTCGATATAACGATTGTATTATTATTATTAATATATACACTAAAATCTTGAAATTCTTTAATAAGAATTCATATTTTTATGAGTTTAATTTTGTATCATGATAATGAGAGTAAAAACAGGTGATTCTTAGCAATGGAATCATAAACGGATGAGGTGAAATTAAAGAACCGGTTTAGTCAGTTATATATATATCAAACTTCTGTACATATAATATCATCTTTTCTTTATAATTTTACATTAACTATATCATGTGTATATATATATATATATATAAGTGCTGTTGCACTCGTATGATGCTATCTACCAGGCCAGAAGGTCATTGCAAATAATTCCAAACACGAGTCTTCATTTTATTAAAAATTTTTCTCTTTAAAAAAAAAAAAAAAAAAAGATTATCCTAAACTATAATTTGCATGTATAATTAATTTGATAAATAAAAAAAAAATAATAATAATAATATACGTGTGGGTGAATTGAAAAGTTTGAGGAGCTTTAACATAGAAACAATTTTTTTCACAGTTAAACAAAAGAAAATTAAATGTTTTATTTAAAAAAAAAAAAAAAAAAAATAAATAAGTTTTCTTTTTATTTTTTTGAATCTAAGCTCAAAACTTTTCAACCCACACCAACGTATATAAATATTTAAAATTAAGAATAATATTATCTTGCAAAAAATGAAAGTAAAAAAAAAGAAAAAGAGAGAGAGAGAGAGAGGAATAGAGGAAAGTAAAGCTAAATATAAGCTTACTTTAAAATAAAAAAAAAGAACTATTTTTAAAAAAGAGTTCTTCGAAGTAGTGGTCTGCGAAACAGTTGGATCACTTACATTGAAGCAAACAACGAGTTTGCTTTCGATGATGTTTGCTTCTCTATGCAATCAGCACCAGCCATCTAATTACTTTGTCAGTATGTATTATGCATACAATCAAGGACATTGCTTGCGCATTTCTTTTTTCTTTTTTTTCTTTTTTTTGCAACTTGTCATTATCGTCGTTAAAACTTGTATTTAATAGTTAAACGTTGTGTCTAATTATTTTATTCTAATACTTTCCTTGTGTGTTACATTTCATATGCTTTTCTAGTATACAAGTATGTTGATGATCGTGTTTTTATCGTTAAATGTTATAACGATTTATTCAAAGTTACTTTTAAATATTAAATTTGTAATTATTGAAAAGAACAATAATTTTGTTCCAATTTATTTAGTATTTTTTTGTTTAATAATTTTTGCATTGTAATTTATTATAATTGTTTATTACAGTTTTATATATAGTTTTGTTTAATAATTTTTTTTTTTTATTATAGTTTATATTATTAGGTGGACCGGAAAGTAATGTCGATTTTTAACCTTAAAATTCAAGTAAATAAATTTTTCAAACAAGTTTTTCTTAATAATTAATAATTAAATTAATTAACTAAATTAATTAATCACTTTATATATAATAACCTTTTTTTTTATCTGGTATGCAAATTTTCAATATCGTAACAATAAAAATCATCAATCGGTTTTTTGATTTAAAATATTAGAAATAATTTGACATGCGTAGTAACGACATTACTTTTCGGTTCCCCTAATAGTTGATCTAACAATAAAGTTTATAGAAGATACATTTCAAATGATTGATACAATGTGCTCGTTTCTTTTTAGATCACGTTATAGATATCGGTATACTTATATAAATCGATTAAATGGTGCCAACAATTAAGCATCGACACACGATAAAGAAACTTTAAACGAGTTCTATTGCGAATTATTTATGATATCTATTGAAACAACCTTGGCATTTTATTTTTTTATTTATTTATTAATTTTTTTTTTTTTACTATTTATAATTTAACGAATAATTTAATTGCGTAATTTTATATTATTTTAGGTTATATATTTTATATATTTAATTGCAAAGTATTTTTTTTTGTTTATTGCAGAAATTTATTGTTGATTTAAAATAAACAGAAAAGTTGATTTTAATTGATACGACAGAGTTCAAATAAATCAAATGAGAATTACAGTTTATTATGAATATATTTTAAATTGAAAAATTAATTACAAAATGGTTGTTGTGATGAATGATGATCTACTATTGAATAATTTATTATCATCATTATTATCAGTCAATCTTTCATCGTAAAAGTTTCATATAATATTACATATAAATTGATTAATTTCAATTGTATAAATAATGAAGTAATTTACATAAAATGTTTCGCAAATGTTTGATTGAATACAGTCGGTAAAGAAGAAAAGTTTTGTTTCTAAGATAAATTAAATATATTTTACTTTCTGTTTATAAATTATATTGAAACATAATTTATATTTAATCGGTAAGAGAAAATTTGGAAGAGAAATTTAATATTACCAGAAATGTACAACATTTATATCATTCGAATATTTTACCTTCGGCTAATACTGATAGATGGCAACACCATCTCCCTATTTATCGAAACAGTGAAAATATTTCTGTTTATTCATTATACATATATATCTAATATTTACGAGGGTGGATTACAAAAGTTTTGAACAAAACTATATTAAAAATTAAAAATAAGAATTTAACCATAACAATTTTTTTTATTATTGTTGATATTGTGTAATTTACGAATTTAAAAATTGAAATCATTATTACAAACTTCGACGAAATACTACTTTAATCAATATCACAATTGGACAGTCACGATTCTAAATGAACCAGCACAAATCTGATCAATCCAATTAAAATACTTCATTTCATCTGATTCTTTTATTCGAATTAGCCTAACTATGAAATTTTAAATGATAAAAATATTGTTTTCAATGTTATTTTTAAATAGATAATGTAATTTTATTGACATAAATAAAATGTTCAATATTGAAAAAACATGAACAAATATAAATAATTTCTAAGTAATTTTGTGTCAAGATAAATTCACTTTGATAAACTCGATTCGATTTTCTTAAACAAAGGTCTCGGCATAGAGCATGATCCCATTTTCTTAATTGACTTTCAAGGTTGGAGAGTTAATTAGTAGAAGTTAACTTAATCAATGGCACGTTCTAGTTATTCAACATGATCAACAAAAGGGTGGGCAGGAAATAGGTGGGAAGAGAGGATCGTCAGGAATCGATCGAAAAATATATATTAACATTTGTTTACAATTTAAAACACACAAGAGTTCTTTTTTTAAGACTTTAATAAATTTATATAGAAATCAAATAAACAAATTACGAAATACTAGCAGTTATTATTAAAAGTGAAAGTTGACAAATAAATTACCAAATGGTTTTGAATACCTAGTATTGATCAACTTAATAAATTTGCATCCAGATTTTGCAAAATTAGAAAATTAATTTGTCAAATTTTATAAAATAATATATAATTTAAAAAGAAAACCATCTAAAAGAATATTTAGTTCATATTCTACTAATCGTTACAAGAAGATACATTTCGTTCTGTACGTTGACACCATTTTAACTTTCACATGAAGATGCCAGAGTAAGATTGGCAGCTGCTTACTTCCGTGTCGATAAAAATGACGACGAGATGAGTCGTCCGGTGAAACTCGCTCGAGTAACTTTTAATCAATTTCAAAGCTTTCTGCATCTTATGTTAGCAATAATCTTTTCAATCTCGTGTCTTGCAGTTAATTTCTATTTTCACGAATCGTTTCATATCAAATCTTGCATAAAATACTCAACTTTCATCATCTCACTTGTAGCTTTTTATTACAAATATATATGTATATAATTTTAAGGTTAACATTAAAGTTGAGATTATTTGTCTATATTCATGTTTATGTGTATTCATGCATCAGTAATGAATATTATATTCATTCCTGGAATCTTACAAAGTCTTCAGAATGCCAGTTCATCGATGCATTTGTTACTTGATCTATTACATAATCTTTCTATCATGTTTGTAGGAGATACCTTATGTTGTGTCACCTTCACACGGATCTACTCATGCATACGCACAAATATATATACACACACACACATACCCAGAAAATCACTCAACATATATATGCTTGTTGCATATAGATAAAATAGTATGAAAGTGATGAATACACGTAAGAGAGGATAATTGTCTTATCTAACTTTTGTTTATATTATCTTATTATTTTTCATTTATCATAGTTGTTGACTCATCATTTATTTTAATTTTAATTTTTTCATTTTTTTGTTCATACACAATATTTTGCAGATGTGTAATTTTGCAATAAGTGATGAAATAAATTTTTAATTGAAAATTTTGATTTACTTTTAATATTTTTTATACAATTTATGTACGTAAAAGATTGAATTATTTATTGGGAAAGTGTTTTTTAATCAGAATTGTTTTTACATCTAAATTCATTAGAAATTACAATTTGATATCACATTGAAGTCATCAGTAAAGTCATGCTAAGTGTATTAGATTATGAAACCTTGTTCCTAGTGCACTTGGCCTACGTCCAATCATCGTGCTCTGTCTAAAAACACCTTGTTGCACCCTCGAAGGCACGGTCGTTATGAAAATACATATATTCGTGGATATATATTTACGTATGTCATGATACATGGTCATTTTCAGATAAATATGTTACGATGGAAGATCATCGTGTCTAATAGGATAGGTTAATAAAAGTCAAGTTCGTTTTGAATTACATGCATTCAAAAAAGAAAGTGAAAGAGATAGATAGATAAATAGATACACACATGATTGGTTAGTTTAATTTATTAGAACGAATAGTAAGTGTAACGTTTATCATATACTCTCAATAGAAATGATTTTCCACTGAAAGATAATGGCGGCGGTCAATCTCCATTTTGGTATTCGTGATAAGCCCCAAGGAGGAGAGTTTGGCAAGCAACCAAATTCTGGATGCTGACTAATGTTTAACGATGGTGAATCTGAAAGTATATTGTCGAAAAAGAAAAAGAGGGTAAGGAGAAGAGTCAATTTGAGAGACCATTGTCTTAGAATAGAAATAGATAATGATTAATTGATCATCGAGGATGAATGTAATGCTTTAATTATAACTTCAATGTGTGATATCAATTTAAAGTATTTCTTTTTTTGTTTATTCTTAGACTTATTGATTCATTCATTTCTTGTTTATATCAATACAAATATTCTAATTATAACGCACATATTTTTTATTTATAATCCAGATTGTGTTTGATATCAAGTTCTAGTAACTTTTTTTCTTTCTTTTACAATTTGAAATAATTTTTGAACACTAGATATACCACCATTTTCAGTATACCTATTTCTACCACACTAGTCAAAATGACTGGTATATAAAAAAAATGCTTTTTGAGGCTTTTTTGAGTATTTATTTACTCTTAAAAAATAACAAAAAATGTTTAACAATAATAATTTGAATAGATAAATAGATTTGTAGATATTTTTAAATAACAAAACGATTAATTATTTACAGAAATCAAATGTTACATGAAGTAGAAATTTTGAATTAAAATGGATCGTCTGGTATTTCTAGTGTTAATAAAATAATTCCATGTTTTGTGATTTCAAATGAAACAATAGAAAAGTAGCTATAATAATATGTGACAATAATATATTTTTCTTAAGATAAAATCTTGATTCCGTATTCGAAGCAAGAAAAGTTCTTTCTCGAAAAATGTCGAGAACGTACCAAAAAACCAAGTCGACCATGTAGCGCTTTCGTCTTGTCGTTTGAAGGTCCAAACTTGAAGGGAATATCTGTTTGCTATAAAAGGCGCCGGATACGTTGTGAGAGAATACAACCTTGCACAAGAATCGTCGATAATAAAAATAAAGAAAAGCAGAGCGTTGCAGTAGCCTCGAATAATACGGGGTAGGGCGGCAATGAATCATCTATGGAATGTACCAGTATTTTCGCGATCGCTAAGGTAGCAATTTCAGAATGTAAATCAATACAATGCATCTACTCGAATATTCCATAATGACACGAATTTAACATTTATGATGATCATTTTGTACAATTATCACAACATCCATGATAATATTTTTCTATTTAAAACAATTATCAACCCCTCCCCCTCGTGAATAAATAAAATTTATTATAATAATTACGTATGTGTGCATAAATAAAAAAAAAGAACGAAAGATATACACTAAATCAAATATACGATATATCAATGTAAATTGAATTAAAATTATATATAAAAATATAATTATCAAATTAAAAAATATAAATCTTTATAAAAGCATCAATAACAATAAGGAGAAACGTGCGGCACGTGTCTTGGCGTTTGCATGTAAATTCGTGCGTGGAAAACAACACTCCTCTCACAATCCGACACAATATGTTGAAGGATATGAAAAATCTAACGTAAAGAAGGTTCTATCGTTCTCTGGTAGTTTCGATCGGCCGGCTCCGAGAACATTCGGGAATTGTCGGCGCTAGTGTAGACGACGGGTCACGTGACTAACTAGCTACCGTCCCACACGAGAAATATATTTAAGTCGATGATACTCGTACCGCGACTGACAGTTTCGCTATCGAATCGAACGATTGCGCTTCGTAAGAGAAGAATCTAGAAAGTTTTTAAACGTGTATCGTGTTTAAGAGAGACATTTCATTTAATAAAAGAAAACCGGCACTTATATAAAATCAATATATAGTGCAAATATATACATTTTTTTTTCTTTTTCATATTTATTTCAAATCGTAAATAAAGTGAAGTGTTATTTTTGTTCGAAAGTGTTGAAAAGATAAATTTGAGGATAAAAGAAGAGAAATATTTGAAGCCAGAAGAGAAAGGGAAAGAGAAAGAAGAAAAATTAGAAATAGAGAGAGAGAGAGAAAGAAAGAGAGTGAGTGGAAAAAGAAGAAATTGAAAAAAAGAAAAAGAGTGACCAACTTCTCGGGTAATTCAGAAAACAAAAAAAAAAAAGATCTTTGCACGAGAGTGCGTTTCGCTCGCCTTCGTTTTAACACCACACGCAAAACAAAAAAAAAAGCCGTTTATTTATTTCTACTTAGTGAGCTTATTTTTTTTTTCTTTTGTGTTACATTAAAAAAACAAAAACAAACAAAACCAAAGAAGAAAGCACAGATCATAGGAAGCTGATAAACGTGATTTTAATCTCTTTCCCTCCCCCCACTATTATATTTCCTGCTCTATATAATACGAGGAGGAGAACCATCTAGAAATCTTGCAACCATCTGAAAGAATAAGAGAGAGAGAGAGAGAAAGAGGACGAAATCGATAATAATAAAAAAAAAACATTTAAAGAACAAATACAAAGAAAAAGTAAATAAATAATAATAAATTAAAGAAAAAAAAAATGGATTCGCCCGTCATCGTGGATACAGCATCCAAATTCGGACAAGGGATCCCTGTAAGTTTCTGATACTCCTTTTTTTCTCTCCTTCCTCCCCCCACCCCCAACCACACGCACTACGCAATTCAAATACAACGATGACGATGACACGAAAAAGATGAGAATATATATATATATAGTTCGTAGGTAGATAACTGGATGTATATATGTATAGATATATTTGATATATACATATATATATATATATATATATATATATATATATATGTTCGTGTTTTCTTAGAGTAGTAGTTCCCTTTCGAACGATTACATCATGGTTTTACGTCCGACCTTAACCCTCTCGCGTGTCTACTTCATATTACATACTCATAACATATTTCTCTTTGCTCAATCGATTCTATATTAGGGACGGATTGTTTTTTTTATAGATTAAAAGAATTATCGGAAAGAACGAACGGATGATTTATTACAATTCTTCGATTAACTAATTTATTAATTACTTTATTTATTATAGATTTTGTTTATTCGTTAATTTTTCATATTTTTGAAACATATTTTCTTAGTGAAATTAATATTTATGACCAATTTTTACCTTCGTCAGAACACTTATCGAGTGAGTTGTTATCATGCGAGCAAAGCACGTAGTAGTAGTAGTAGTAGTAGGTCGTTGAAAATGTCACAATGTGCATATATATTTTCACGTGTTACGTCGCATTATTTCGATTAAATAGTTTCGAGTCGTGATTTAAATTCGACGAAATTTTTTTTTACAGAGAAAGAATTGTTAATCATCAGTATTATTTAATCTCAATGTTGAAAATCTGCAATTATTTTAATTATTCATTTGAGTGACCTATTTTTTAATTTTATTTTAGAAGTGTGAGCTCAGTCGTTCAAAGTAAGCAAGATATATTTTTTTTTTCTTTATAAATAATTAATTGTTATTTATTGCTCGTTAAATATTTTTTATATAATTTTTATATATACATATATATATATATATATATTGCAATTTATGTATGTCTATTAGAAACCGACCTTCTTTTTCGTGTTTTCTTCTCTTGGATCGTACGAATGTTAGAAATAGAATTTGCGTGTAATGACGTATTTTTCGTAGCTTTCGAAAGAGACATCTCTTTTCGTATATCCACACACGAATTTCTTTCAATTCCATATTTTCTTTTCATTATTTTTTCTTTCTTCGATTGCTATGCATATTTCGGTATGAACGTATGTCATCGATACAAAAATACGAAAAAAAAGAGCATAATCATTGCAGAAGATAAATAAAATAGGTTATAAGCTTTTATATATCACGATTATACAATATATTCATATCACTTCTCGTTTTAGATCGATAAAGTAACGCGATATTATCGTCGAGATAATAATTTACTTTGATTGATAATCAAAAAACATTTTTACGTAAGATTTTCACAAATTTTACCTCGATGCAATTTTAAATGAAACCGGCATTTCAACATGGCGTTGGCAAGATATAAAATATATTTTGCATTTTCAATTAAATTCGAATTCTAAACAAGTTTTATAGCTTAGTTTTCTTGCATTAATTAAAAACTGTATATATGATAAATAAATACATTACAATTGATACTCGATTCTCGAAATGTAAAACGCCATGATACCAAAATGGCGGCGCGGCGGTCCGAGTTAAAACTTAACGAAAATTTCAAATTAGTGTTCGCGAATAAAAAAAAGAAAGAGAATCGGCAAAGTTTCTTTTGATTTTACTAATGTCGTGTCTCTCTTCCTCCAAAAACAGTGATGCGCCGACGCTAATAATAAACCTCGGAAAGAAAGAAAGAGTGAGAGAGAGAGAGAGAGAGAAAGAGAATCTTTTCTTAGAGAAAGAGAGAGGGAGAGAGAGAGAGAGAGAGAGAACCGACCAACTCTGTCGGTCCAATTGAGGTCACAATAGCACCGTCATGTATTATATGTGTTCTTTCTCACAAAAGGAGGTGCTAGAAACGTTTAGACTATCGCGCTATGTTTCCTTCCTTTGAACAGTCGTCTTCTATTTGGTTCGATCGATTTCTTCTTCTCGGGCATCTTCGATCGGTACCAGGATCTTTCGTACAATTGCCGTAAGTGAATAAAATATTATTCATTGTGCTCTGCTTTACCTAGGTAACCTCCCCTCCATTGTTTTTATTGCACGAAATTGGCTGGCTTTAATTAAAAAAAACAAAACAAAAAAATAAATAAACATAAACATTTTTTTTTTAATTTAAATATTGATCACGAACAAATATTTTGTTCCAAAATAATTACCAAAAAAAAAAAATGTATTTCAAGAGATAATTAAAAAGTTACCTTAATTATATTTTAAATTGAATTATATTTTTTAGGACAGATTATAAAATTATATTAATTTTGTTCTTTAAAAATATGTTTTACAATATGAAGAATATTTGATTATAACGAACAAATTTTAAAAAATATTTTTTTTTGGCTTTTTTCTTTTTTCTTTTTTTTTTTTTTTAGAAATTATTCATCAAAAGTAGCGCAGAGTGACAAGTAAATTCGAAGAAATATAAAGAGATAATAATAATAATAATTTTTTTTTTTCTTCAACACGTGGTCTTTTTTTTCGCGTTCGTTCGCGTCATCTGTTGAGTATTCGAATGATCCAAATAAGGTAAAGAGATTGAGATGACAATACTAACACGACTTAGGAATTAGCAGAAACAAAATGTATAAATGTATAATCTCCTTCACGTTTTATCTTTATTATTTTTTATTCGTATTCGTATTCGTTTCCTATAACGATTCTAAGAAATAGTTGAACAGTAGCACATTACTAACACATACACATATTTAACATAAACACAGGCATAAAACTCACACATAATATTTACACCTGTGTTGTACTACATCATCGATATCAACAGTAAAATAACATAAATGATAAGATGATATTTTTGTTCGTGATCTAATCGACTGTCCCTTATATTTTTTGCATAGAAAAAAAAGAAATGAGAAGAAACCGGTTTTATGATAAACACTTTCAAGAGAGACAAAATACATACTGTGTTGCCACGCTAGAATATAATTAACATATAGAATAATAATAATAATAATAATAATAATAATAATAATAATAATAATAATAATAATAATAATAATAATAATAATAATAATAATAGTAATAGGCAATACTATTACTACAAAATAGACTACAAGTTTTTAAATGATTTGACAAATTTATTATTCTTTTTAATTATTTGTTACACAATTGTGGTTAGGTTTGTAGTTTGGTAATTTTAACAAATAATTAATTTTTAAAAGATTAATATTGTTTTTAAAAAATTACTTGAACATAATTAAATAAATTAATAATATTTAATAATAATCAAAAATACTACTACTACAAAATAGACTACAAGTTTTTGAGTGATTTAACAAATTATTTTATTATTATTATTTATTTTATTATAATATTATTATTTATTTATTTTATATTCATATTTATTTTATTATTATATATTTTATTATTATTTATTATTATTATTCTTTTTAATTATTTGTTACTCATTTGTGTGGTTAGGTTTGTAGTTTGATAATTTGAACAACTAATTAATTTAAAAAAAAATTAATATATATTGATTTTAAAAAATTACTTTAAAAACACTATTGTTTTATTCTTCTAATAATATTTAATAATAATTAATGAATTATTGAGCATATTGTAAAAAGTCGGCTGTTTTTCCTCTCTCTTTTCTAACTGTGCTTTTAAAATGGAAGGAAAAGAAGTGTAACGGACAGGTCACGTGGGCGGTTGGGTGGCTGTATATGCCGACCGGAAATTGGTTGAGAAAACGAAAAGGTAGAATTGTGATGATGGTGTGTCTGCTTTCCCTCGTAAAGAAATTAAATGTTGCTGCAAAATCGTATAATAACGCGATAAAATTTCTAAATAATAGATTAAAATAATACATATATAAAATATCAACATTTATTAGAAAAAACCCATTAATTCAATTCAAAAATATAACCTACGAACGTGACACAAAAAAGTATCACTATTACCACTTTTTTTTCGATTTGACATTTAACGTGATTTTGCGGCAACATGGCAAATTTATGCGAATGGTTGAGGGTTAGAAGGAAAAAGAAAGAGAGAGTGAACACAGTTGGCAACGTTGCACCAAAAATAGGGAAGTACGATTATCGAGCGTAAAGATGCGTTATGTGTTTCTCTATCTTTATATTTTATTCCTATTCCTTCCTCTTCTCCCCCTCTCCACCTTCCTAGTTACTTCATAATTTTTTTTTGAGTGAGGTTAGTTTGTTGATGATAGTAAAAAAAAACGACAAATAATTATGTTGAAAATATTTTGAATTTTATAATGTTTTATTTTTAAATATTTAATCCTGAAAATATCAGATAAATCGTATATTTTGTGAAATATCTTTTAATGCTTACGTTAGTTGCTGAGTTGCCATTTTGAAATGGAGTGTATATAACCCCATTTTTTTTTTGCTTTCTCTTTATTCAAATATTAGATGTAGCAATTAATTATATTTATTTATAAAGTATTATAAATTAATTTTCGAAATAGTTTCCATTATTTTTGATGATTTTGTTCATATTTTAATCAACCGTTGAATAATTCGACGAAAAACAATATGGCGGTTTTGATGCAATGAATTTTAATATGAAGTCATCGAATTAATTACTACACCTAATATAGTTTGAATATGCATTTATATTTGAGTTATATGGTTGCATAGAAAAACATTGAAACTCAATAGATAGAAGTCATGGCTTGAATTATTTGCATAACGCAATGTTACATAATGATTGTAATTACAAGAGGAACTAGTGTCATGCATCCGTGCAACGAATAGATAGATGAAGATAGAAGTTCTTTTGATCAATTACTATCATCATTCTATCGTTGAAAATTCTTTAGAATATTATCAATATATTTAATCGTTCTTTCATGAGTAATTTAAACAAATCAAATTGTTCCTAGATATTGTGAACACAAACTTGGGAAAAAAAGAGATGTCTTTTTCTCTCTTTTTTATTCTTTTCTTATTTCTCGAGGTTAAATCAAATTGTTGTTCAAGGACAGCCACCTAGTTTTCTAGTTAGAATAATCATTATGCCAAAAGAGCGATGACATTTACCTAGTTTTTACGTTTTTGCGTGACGAGACTATTTTTGTGCTTTATTTTTTTATTTATTTTTCTTGTAATTTAATTTTTGTACTTTTTGGTGTTTCTTTTTTTATTCAATTAATGTAAACGTAAAATAAGAAACTCTGAACGCCGAGTTAAATGATAAATTCTGATTAATCTCGAATAGATTTTTTTTTTCCTCGAAAGAATATATATATGTTCAATGTCCACAGTTAAAGACGAGAAGATTATCGTATAAGTGGTTATTGCATTCTTCCTACACACGTTTTCAGTGACGTCATTATAGTATAGACAAACAGTTCGACAGAAGTTACAGTGAAATCATTTAGTCGCTTATAAGGCAAGGAATGTCGAGTGTATTATCGCTTATTCTGGGTGAAAACTGAACATTTATTATTCATCTGCATAATCGAAACGTTCTGTTTACTAATGTTGTTTACCCCCAACGTACCACCGATTTGATTTCAAAATGTATTGAAACAAATATATCAAACATTTGATTAACAAACAAATTGAATTTTTAAAAATGTAATTTAAACAAATTTTTTACATTTTCTTTCAAAAGTTTAATGGTAAGATGCATATATTAGAATGACCGGAAAGTAATGTCGTTTCTACATATGCATATTTTTATATTTTAATTAAAAATCAATTGATTTTTATAATATCATATTTGATATTATAAAATTTGCATATTAGTTAAAAAAAAGATTGCTGACAACAAGGTGTGATTATATTATAATAAATACAAATTTGTTCAAAATTTATTCGTTAAAATTTTAGGTTAAAAAGCGTTATTACTTTCTTAATATTTCACGATCGAAAATGTTTCACGACTAATTTTCCACAATTTTCCGAGACCTTCGCGGTTAATTTGGAAATTAGGTAAATTCCACGAGATTTTCGTCGGACACGGATCATATAAAAGCTTCGACGTTATATTTAGTGTTGAGTCACACGCAGTAGTATATTACCAGCTCAAAATTACATTTTCCATTCTTCTAATATACAATTAGATTTAATATCATTTTTTGTTGCTAATTCATTCTAATGATTTTCATGAAAAAATAAAACAAAAAGATTGGCTAAAATTTTAGTACTCTTATATCTTCGATTACGTTTTAATAGGTTAACTAATGGAATTTACTACTAGAGTCAACATTTTTCTATATAATATAGGTATCATATTATATTAAAAGATAGTAACAGCACTGCTTAATAGAATACGTGCATAGTTATGCATTTTTTCTTATATTTAAAGTTTAACCAAATTATATGTGTACGTATTTATCTTACAGAAGAACGAACCAAGTTGACAGGACGATACTTAACCTTGATAATGCAGCTGCATAGAATTTAAAAAAAAAATCATTGTCCTGTCAACTTAGTCTCGATCGTGTTGCGAATCGTGTGTCGTTTAACAAATGATATTTAACAAGTCAATTTGTGATGTATTTAAATATAATACTTGTTTTTTTTTTTTTTGGAGGAAAGAATTGTGGTATTAAAAAGTGTATATTTTGATAATGTTTCAGGGCTTCCCTTTTGACGACGACGACGATTTTGGTAGACGTACCGATATACGAGCACATTTGGATGACCTAGCAGCTCGACATCCAGAGTTTGCGGATCATCTTTTAGGACCGCCTTGGGGTGATATTCCGTTCCGAGGATCTACGTATAATAATCAACGTCGTGGTTCAGGGAACGGTGGTAGCAGTAGTTATCCAAATTATCCAGACGAGGACGCTAGAAGCCAAGCTAGTGGGAGTAGTGCTACTAGCGCTGCGAGTGGTGCAAGTGGCGTGAGTTCGCACGGTGATCCAGAGTCTTCCTCGTCATCGTCATCTAATCGTTCGAAAAATCCGCAATACAAACAATCGCATAGGGAAGATAGAAGAAATCCTATTCCGCAATACGGTTTACGTAATACCGTAGACATAGGACAACATCATCGTGACAATATGGAGAATTCCGAGAAGGATTCTCGTGGACAACGTTCGATGTCAGCGCCACCAGAAAATAGACAACAAACAAATCTGCAGCAAGAGCAAGATAAATCTCAGCAGCAACCAACAACAGGACAACGTTACGTTTCTAGAGTTGATATAACACCGCAGCATAATCAGCCGCAATCTTCTCCTTCTCAGCAACAATCTTCCCCGGCACCTCCACCACCCCCAACTCAACCATCACAAGGCAATGTTAGGCATATACCAATATTTGTAGAGGGTCGTGACGAGCCAGTTATTTCAAAGAACATAGATGCACCTTTCCAAAGACAACAATCACCACCGCAATTTCACAATTCACCACATTTCAATAAACCATCGTCTTTCTCAAATCTAGGTTTCGGACCTAGACAATGGCGACCACATTTCCAAGAATCATTTTATAATCCAAATTCGTCTTTTGATCATTCACCGACTCGTCGTACTCAATCGCCGAGTTATCAACAACCTAAACATTATGCTGAGAGACAACAACAACCGTCAAGAAATCATCAATATGAGTCTCAACCTCAAGAATATCATCAGCCTCGACAGAGAGCGCGTCAGCAACAGGAACCAAAGCCACATCCTCAGCAACAGACAGCACCCGGTCCACAAGCTCAACAACAAGAAGCACCTAAACATGTACCAAAGCAAACACTACCTAAAGATCCACTTGAGAGAGTAGCTTCGGTACAAAAGGAAGTTGATTCTCTAGCTGAACAAGTTAAACAGTATACCGGAAATTCTCGCAAGGACAAACAATACATGTTCCTGGACGAGATGCTGACAAGAGAATTGATTAAATTGGATGATATAGAAACAGAAGGACGAGAAAATGTACGTCAGGCACGTAAAAATGCAATTAGAACTATACAAGAGACGATAAGTCTATTGGAATCCAAAGCACCTTTACCTGGACAAGAACAATCCCAGGAAGATTCACAATCTATGCAAGTGGAACTATATCAAGAACAAGATAAAGAAAATCAACCATCAAATGAACCAATGGATGTTGATCAAAACAATGAACAGAATATGCAATCAAACGAAGCAATCCCATTGCCTCCTGGACCTTCCTCACCAAAAACTACTACTGAAAGTAATGAAGGAACAGTTGCGGTTGCTCAAATAGAACCACAAAATGTATCAACTGAAAATCAGCAAACGGAACAAAAACAAGAAGTTCCACCTGCTGCAAATCAAGCAGAACAACAAGAACAACAACAACAACTACAACAAGAGGCTGCAGTAGTCGCTGATAAACCATCGAACGAAAACACGAATAACATCACCGAAGTAACGATGCAAATCGATTCCTCGGCGCCAATGGAAGTGCAAGAGAAAGTAGAAAATGTCGTAGAAGAGGAAAAGAAAGATGAAAATCAAAATGTATCAAAGGAAATCAAAATGGTGGGAGAGAGCGTCGAGCAAAAGTCTACGGAAGAACAGAAACAAATTTCGGACAGTCAAGAAAAGACTAAGTCAACGACTAAGTTACCTTTGTCACCGAAAACTGCAAAAAAAGCAAAGAAACTAGCTGCACCGATCTCAGAAAAAGCGATACCTTTACCACCACCTGAAAGTACGGAAGCTAATGCAAAGTAAACAGAAAAAAAAGAAAAATGATTTATTTGTAAATCATATTTCGTTCGTTGACCATTGAATGGCGGGTCCCATGATTATTTGCTTGAACAAACGCATACACGTTTCTAAATATAAGAAACGAAACATCTTTGCGACTCTTCGCCATCTTGGTTTTTCTTATCTTCTTTTCTGTTTTTTTTTTTTTTAATAGCATGAATTTGATTTAGGGAACGGAACTGATCGTCGTTGAATCTGCTGGTTACGACAGATATACGAATATCGTGTTTTACACGTTAATATTATTTTCTTCTCGTTTATTTTTACTATCATTGTCCTTCGATAAACAAATTAATAATAATAATCTTTCAAATAGAATTCTCTTTTGTTCTTTCAATGAAATTGTCTTTTGCCATAATGAAATAAATGTGTTTCTCGAAGGATTCGACTTATTTTTATCAGTGTGTATAGATATACACACACACATATATATATATTTGTTCGAAGTGTCAGAAAAGTATTATTTGATTTATATTTCTGATATAATTTTTTTTCTTTTCTTTTTTTTTTTTTTTTAAGAAAATGCGTATTGCATAAGCATGTGCATGAGTATAAGATTGATACATTAAAAATTGGTATACTTGAAATAGGTACACCATCTATAAACTATTCAAAATGCTTATATATATATATATATATATATATAACAATTAAAAAAAAAAGAGAATTTATTTTTATGTTTCAATATTTGCAAATATTTATTTTCTTTTTCTGATAAATAATAATTGAGTAATTTTTATTTTGAAAACCTAGTAGAGGGTATTTCTCATATTCCATCCAATAGCAATGCGACGTTATTTTCTTATCAAAAACTGTCTATTGATTATGACGATAAGATGGTGCCTTGTCAAGTATCGTTAAACTTATTTAGAAGAAAAAAGAAGTAATGTACTCTAATATACTTTTTTATTTGTATTACTTACCAAGAGTTAGGTAAAGTAATACATATATACATATATATATGTATACGTACATATGTGTGGATTCGTTTTCGAAGATCATTTCTAGAAAAATCGAAGAATAAACGAAAATCAAAATGGCGTTCTTTTTTTTTACGATATAAAAATGATATTATTTATAAAATTAAATCAATCAATAATTCATCGAGACAAATTTATAAGGATACATATGAAACATAATAGTTATAATAATATTAATAATAATTAATAAATAATTACAAGAAAAATATAGAAAATCTAAACGCCAACGTCAGAGATCACCCGGTACGCTTTAGTATTACGACACGCACATTGTAAAGTATATAAACTATATATTATTAATTAATGTTATTATTTATAATTTATTGTGTATGCTTGCATTGTATTGAAAGAGTGAGAGAGTGAGAAAGAGTTTTAAAAGAATTTTCAAGCCCAATCGTTCCTGCGGCTTGCTTTGTATGTGTCACCCATTGTAACAGAGTATGCGAATACGAAACATGTACATACATACTATATATAAAAAGAAATTTATATGTATGCGTGTGTGTGTTCGTGAAGGAAACTGTGCTGCATCATCTCGTTTGTTGTCCAAAAAAAGAAACAAATCAAAACCCACAAATTTTCATATTTAAATTCGAATGACGACAAAATTTTTAAAGAGTGAAAGAAAAGAAAAAGTAAATTAAGATCAAAAAAAAAAAAAAATCGGACCGAGGGGGATGATTTGCACGGTTTTTATGGTTCCTTGTTCATGGTGATACTCAATTCTTTTTATTGTCTCTTTTTGTTTTATTTTTATTTTTTATTCTTTTCTTCTTCTTTCTTTGTCCCTGTATGACGTTTAAGTTAAAATCGTAGGGACAAAATATTGTCTTTAACCAGAAATTTTGTATTTTTTCTGAGCAAATGTGTGTGCTAGACTGAGGAGAGATGAATGCGTCTCAAGATTTTGCGAGAAAGATATATATATATATATAAATATAAATATATATATGTGTCGCGAAAAGAATGGTGTATTGAAAATAAAAAAAATATATGAAAAATTACGAAAAAAAAAAAAAATAATAATAATAATAATAATAATTACAAAATTAATGAATGTGTAATAATTTGACGAGTAAATGAAATTCAATGAAAATACGAACATAGAATTAATTTATAATAATAATTTATATTAATAAATTAATAATGAAACCCATTATATATATATATACATATAAATGAAAAGTAAGTATAATAGAATAAATAAGTTTTTTTTTGGTATTATCTTTTTTTGAGGTAACAAAATCCAATAGAAAAATCAAATGGCGTATAATGGAGAAGTGAAAGAGAAAAAGAAAAATATGTCGGACAGAAAATGTCAGTAAAAAAAAAAAATTGTAAGCTAATACCAGTCTATCGAATATAAAAATAGAAGTTGATTTAAATATCAAGTGTGCCAAAAGGTGTTCGATGATCGTCACTCGGATCAACGTTTCCCCCCCCCCCTAACGGAATTTTTTAAAAGCTCCATTTTTCTTCTCTTTTTGTTTCATCTATTTATTAATTTATACATATAAATAATACTTTCCATAATTTATAAAATTAAAAACTAGTTAAACATTTAAACATATATCATTTTAATTGATTAATTGGTTAATGTTTTCCTTTTTCCATTATATAAAATGGTTGCTGATTTGATTGGACATTTCTTGCTTCTCTCATTGTTTTAGAGAAATATGAAAACGCCAACGACCTGCGAATAACAACATCCGGCACGTGCAAAAGTATCGTTCACTGCCAAATTCTTTAGAATTGTTTTATTATGGCCTCATCCACACACACGTTTGGGGAAGTCCCAATGAGCAATCGACAATCACAAAGGAAAATTTTTTTATTACTCCCTACCCCGAATGCGAATTATTTGGCATATGTGTATACGTATAAAAATATATACACATATGTGTTAAAATGCTTCCGCCAAGCTTTTTACTACGTTAGTTTCGTTTTACAGAAATATCCAAAGTTCGAAATATTCAATAGCGAATTTGTTTATTGTACGTTTTACAACTTTTCAACGAATTTCGTTCGTTGGCTATTTAAAAAGAATTGTTTTTTATTCAATAACGAAATAGAAGATATTTTTCTTGTTATATATTCAATTTGTAATCTTTCAAAAAATGTTTTAATTTTTTTTAACAAGATTTAAGTATATTTTTGATCACGTATTCGGAATTTTCAAGATGGCGGCCATTATTTCGAACATTCGTATTTATTATAGCTGTACATTTTATTAAAATGTGAAGATTAGACATATTAATATTCATTTAATGATGAGAACATTTAGAAGAATAGTTTACAAAAATGTAAGTATTTATTTTTAATTAAAATGTCTCAAAATATTTTTATAATTACGTAAAAATAAATTTACAATCGTGATTGAACGATTAACACGCATAATTAAATCACAAAATCAATATAAATATAATTTTATAAATCACTTTCAGAGATGTAATCTTATTAATCTCAATTTGATATCATTGAGAAGGATAATACTCTAAAAAAACAAAAAGATAATTAAAATAAAAAATGTAAACAAGAAAAATTGAAGTTATAAATATGTCTGAAATAATTTGAACAAATTACTTTCCAAAGCTGATTCTTATCTTCGTACCATTCGAAAGATTTGGCATGGCTAAGCAAAACGACAGACCTAAAAATAGTAAGCAGCGCTTAGACTGTTAGAAGTAAAATGTTTTTGCGTCGCGACGCCCGTACTCAAACGTCGTATCTTTTCTTTCTTTTTTTTTTTCTTTGGGGAATCCCGTAATTCCCGATCAAACATGTCGAAGTATATTCAACGATTACTGAAGTTTTCACTGAATAAGTTTTATCTTTTCTGTAAGATAATTTGTTAAAATAAACGATGATCACATATCGGGATTGTGAATTTGATTGATTAAATGCGAAAATAATTATCACTTCAAAATGTAGACATTTATAATCATCATTTTGTTTTTTGGGTATAATACAATAAAATTATTCAAGGGATTGGTTTCTAGAAAAAAAAAAGTAATTTATATTTGTGTGTATATTGTTTGATAACATTTTAATAATAATATTATAATTTTAAAGCAAACTATTGTATATTTTGTTCATTAACATTGTAGCAAAAAAAAGTTTATTTAAATATGATAATAATAATCTTGATGAATTCTGACGTAATACAAATATACATAACATGTACAGCAATCACAAATATTTTAAAAAGCAAATCGATTATCGTTTCTCATATTGAGAGCTAAACATAAGTATAAAAAATATTTACGAAGAAATAGCTTTCGCCTTTTTTTTTTTTTTAAAGTACATCTATAATACTTAATATATTTAATAAGTTAATGTAGATCAAAGATAGCAAAGTTTGTTTCAAGTTTATAATTAGTTCTAAATGTTACAAGATTTTGTTTAGAATTATTTCATCAAATTAATTATCTTTTGAAAATCTTTGTTCTACGTTAAAGTACATAATTTTTCTATATGTAATTATCCTGTAAAATCTTGATCTTGATCACATTTATTGTTCACAGTGTGAGCCGTGTAAAACATATTATATTTAAAAGTGCACTTGTTTCTAAACTATACGAAATGATAAATATAAACTATAGAAAATAAGGAATATTATTATTGTAATGTTCAGTTATATAAACATATTTTAATTGTAGACTATAATCTTATTCAAAGTGACATTGTATAATTTTTTTTATGTCGTTCAATAAGCATGATTTTTATGATGATACAAAAAGCATGATTTTTATAAATATTGAAGCATTTATTATTATAATTGAAAATAATATTGCAATATTAGTTGTTTAAAAATGTGAACCAACCGATACGAGCATGCGTAAAATATGAAAAAGGTCCCAAATATTAAAAGGGCAAATATTTAGCTTTGTGCAATGAATACTTCGTGAAATATTTATTCTGGTATCATGCTGCCTGTATACTTCAAAGGCACTTTTTTGTGCTTTTTCATTTCAAAGTCATCGTGATTTTCTTCAAAGCACATCGTACAATAAATATCATCGCTACATCCTCTACATTTTACCAAGTCTCTTGTTTGATCGCACATAACGCAGACGGGTTTTTCTTCGTCTTCATCGTTGCTTGGTGTTCCAGTCTTAAGAAAAAAAAAAAAAGAAAAAGAAAAAAACAAATTAATTGAAATAATTACAAGATAAATTGTTTTCTTTAAAACTGTTTTACACGAATACCTCTACTTCCATTTCTTCAAGTTCATCCACTTCTTCATATTTTTTTTCGAGAGCTGCCTCAGCCAATGCTTTTTCAATGATCTTCTTCGTTACAGCATTCTCATCGTCCTCGTCAAAATTATTACAACTGTGACTCGGAGTTGAGTTCTATAAAATATTGTTAATTAATATTCAATATTTAATATAACAAAATAAAAAAACAAATTATTTGATTATATTGACTCTTCTTCTTACAGATCTGGAATTATTAATATCTTGTAGTGCTCGCAGTCTTGCTTCGATATCTTTATCAGGATTATTTTTAGAAGATAATTTAAGTCTTTCGAGATATTCTTTTATCAAGTCATCAGTTTTTTCTTGATCTGTTCTACTGTCAACCTTCTGAATCTAAAAAAAAAAACAACTTTCTACGTCATATTTTTTTACTTTAAATATTAAAGCATATGTTTAAAGATTATTATTGCAATTTACATTAGTTATTTTCTCTTCGGGTTCTTCATCTTTCAATATTGCCAATCTTCTTTTGATCTCTTCAACACTGGGCAATGGTACCTTATTGTCTTCTCCTTTCAATTTTCTTAATCGATCTACTATTTCTTGATCAGCAGGTTCCAAACCTGTTTTAAACTTATCCCAATGATTTGCATGAGTGTACATAACTATGGGAGGCTTAGATGGATTTTCCAATGAATCCAATCTGAAAAACAAAGTCAAATGGTTCATTTGATTTCAACATTGTATTAATTAATACATTAATATTTACTTTCTTGCTATGTCAATTGGTGCTAAAGGACCATCAGAAGTATCTGAGGATGGTGATTCCATATTGTTGCTTAATTTATTTATTGATTTATTCTTGTTGTAACAACGTCCACAAATCTTCTTTACTGCTTTATTTGGTACATTATGTTGATATTTCAGACACTTGCTACAATAGGAGAAACCACAAGTAGGGCAAGCATGCTAAAAAGTATTGTAATGAAACATGAAAGCTACAAATGATTATCTACAATTTTGTTAAATTTTATACAAAATATTGTTATATTTAAATATGAATATTTAATGTTAATGATATTAAAAATATTAGTAAGTGAATTATAACATAACCTATAATGATATATGTTAGACTTAACAATTTTGTTACTTACTTCTTTTTTAAAGAATGTAAACTTCGCTTCACACGTATTACACGACATTCTTTAATAAGTCATCGCTTTTTTTATACAACAATGTAAGAGACAAAACAATAATGAGAGTAATTTTCTTAAAGTGTTTTCACTTTGTAAATGAAAATATTTTGATATTAACCGATTACTACGCCACAAATAGTGAAAGTATTGCAATTTTATCTTTAATGTAAGATTACATTCAAGTAATAGAGAAATAGTACGATTGCAAGAAACATCAACGATCAAGATGACATTCGATTCATGACAAACAATTAATATTCTAATTTACCGACTATTAATAATGTTACTTAATTTGACAGCATACATTTTTTAATTCTTTACTATTATATTTTTCATATATTTAATTTATTGAATTAATTACTGTTTTAATTATATAATACCATATTAATTAATGTTACTTTTCGATTTTTTCATATTATTTTTAATATTGTTGATAATAACAGATCTCTATATTACCAACAGTAAATTTAAAGTTTTCTATTAAATGATACCAGAGATGGCGATACATGTAGAAATAATTTTTTGTCGTGTTTTCATTTCTATAAAATTCATTCATTCGAAGAGATATAAATCGTTTAAAAATTTAAAAACGGTAAAAAGAGAGAAAACTTTGTGTCTTGGTTTTTTATAATTTATAGTTGTATTTAATATAATGTCACGAGTCAAAGGAGATATAGCAATTAAAAACAATTCCTTTAAAAAATCTAAGGGTATCATAAATATTTTAATTATACATGTTTATTAATTTATATTTATAGTTTTTAATTATTTTTATATATTATAAAATATAAAATATTATATTTCTATTTGTTCCAAAAATTAAAATAGTCATTTGAAATCGTTATTTATTTACAGGTACTGGTCCTACACTCGTGAAGTTAATGATCTTTGATTTATGGCTTATTTATAAGGTTAGACAAATTTGCCGACACAGTTTTGAAGTATCACATACATTATTACGAATTATTATTTTTTTAGCAATTAGTACAGGTAAATTAAACAAATTTTTCTATTTTCAATACAAATTATAACATATATAAATATAATATAAACATTATATATATATATATATGTTAAATGTTTAATGTATATAATATTATATAAATTTTATTATAAAAATTATTTAAACTACAAAAATACGAATTTTTGAATATTTACCTTTCATTAATCTATACAGGAATATTATTTATATGTATACACTTGAATGCCAATATTAATTCAACTACTTGTGAAAAATACATTACAAGAAAAGAATCGAAGGAACATAATAATAGAATTCTTACTATTTCTGATCATTCTAAAGTCGAAACGGTATTATTAAAAGAAGAAATATCAAAGTTAAAAATGAAGGCTTTTAATCTCGACAAGATGATTCAAAAAATGGTCCATATAAATTATTTTAAGTAACGAATTACATGAATGAAGAAAATTTCATATTAAATTTAAGAAATATTTCTAGTAGATTAATTTTTATTATTTATTAATATTTTGTCTTTGTCACAGAATATAGAATTGAGCAACGTTCAGATGTCCTCGAAAAAAACACGTATATTCACATTTTGTATTTTTAATTAATCAAATTGTTTAACTATACATACTTGTATATTTTTATTGTAAATATGTTTGATTAGATTTAGAAATGGCTGATTTTGTCTCGGAGTCAGTTGGTGGGTCAGTGATATCAACGCCAGATACGGAATCATATTTTGAATCGAAAAATACTCAATTTCATATTTTCGGCATTCCAATATGGCGGCCGAATTATTTCACGCCGCGAAAAGTAATACAGGTATAAACTAACATATATATATATATAACTTAATTATTTGTTTTCAAAAAAATTTATAAAATTCTGATATTTTATAGCCTTGGAGTCAAGCAGGCGAATGTTGGGCATTCCATGGTTCTCATGGGAAAATTGTATTAGAATTGGCTGTTCTAGCTACCATAAGTCACGTGACTATGGAACACATACCAGTTAGTATATCCTTAACGGGAAAAATAGATTCGGCGCCAAGAAAATTTATTTTATTTGTAAGTTACTTTAAATAGTTTATACGTAGAAAAATGTGTAATAATTTTATAACATATATCTTTAGATTAAAAATTTATAATATTTGATTTTAAAATTATAATCATTCTATATATACAGGGTTATTACAAAGATCAATACATATTAATAGATACTTTTGAGTACAATATTCATGGATCATCAACGCAAACATTTCTCATCACCGTAAGTCTAATCATAAAGTAAATACATATTTCATATATAATGTTGATTGTAACTAACATTGACAATTTGTGTTCATAGAAACGTGAAATATTAAGTGTTCCTTTTAAAAGAGTCATGTTAGAAATACTATCAAATTGGGGTAATGAAAAATACACGTGTATATATCGATTTAGGATACATGGTAAATCTTATGAATAAAATTATAAACTTATATATATCTATAATGTAGAAAAATATTAATAACAATTATTATTATTATTATTATTATTATTATTATTATTATTATTTTATTATAAGAAATGAATAAACTATATTTTTCTTGTGAGAACATAAGTAAATATTTTCTTTGTCATTTTTAATAAGATTTTCATACTAATTGAAAACTCAAATAATTTGTTGATACTTGACCCTGTTACTTACGAGTAACGTCATACACGCTAATAAACTCATTACATTATTCTAACAATTTTCAAGAAAAATCTTGTAAGTTACATAAAACTATGTATCTCTAATTTTCATTTGTTATCCCTACTAATGTACTCATTTTTTTTTTTTCTTGAAACAAATTTTGTATATTAAGATTGGAAATTTCCTAAAATTAATTATATTTTTGTTCTTCACGTGAAATAACTGGATTAACACGAATAAATCTCGTGTTTTGAGTAAACGATTAAAATTTCGTAGTATTAATGGAGAAGAATAAGTATGACAAAATGATGATCATGATTTACGAACATCTGTGTGTATTTAATACAAATATTTTAATATTTATTTATATTATACATACATACATACATATATACAGGATGTATATTAAGAATATTAAATTTTTGATTGATTTTTAGAATTAAAAGATAAATGATGATTGTTTAAAACAACGTGACAATATGTAATAATTATTAATATATGATAACACAATAATAATTATAAATATTGTCCATGTATAAAAATAATAATGATGATAATAATACTGTTAATAATAAAAATATATATATATATATATATGTGTATGTATGTACACATCATAATTCATAAAATTTGTTCTAACTTTATTTTATCTAATACTAATCTCAAGATATCTTAGTTTATTCTCTTTCCATATCATTGTATTATATCGCAAAAAATGTAATTCATTTTATTGCAGTTTTGATATGCTATTAATTTTGTAAGATGTTGGAAGTTACTTCTAGATTTTATCATGGATCGTGGTATTACCTTATAAATACGCTTTTATTATTTTATGATCTTAATCTAGCCTTCTAAGTTGCATTAAAAAAAAAAAAAAAAGAAAATAAAACGAAGAAAAGAAAATGCTTCAAATGTATCATACAATTGCGTATGTATGTGCGTATATTTGTGTGTGTGTGTGTGTGTGTGCGCGCGTGAGAAAAAAAATATAATAACTTAATTATAAAATTGGGAGTATATAGAAATCGAAAAGAGAAAGTATAACTTACAGTAATCGAAAAAATAAGTATTATTCATTCAAAAAATATGTTTACACACATGTACGTAAAACATATTGATGAAATCATTATTATCTTAATGTATAGTATCAAAAAAAAATATTTATATAATTATTATCGATCAATTAATTGTTTAACTGGTCGTTCATCAATAAAATATTATTTATTTATTTATTCACGTTGATTTATAAAACGTATGTACACTTTTATTTCAATTTTATTTATGAATTTTTTTTTCGGAGTTATTTATTTTGATAAATATGACGTATAAAATATGTAACAGTTAATATGATATATAAAAGAGAGAGATGAAAAATTATATTATTAGATTTATTGGTGAATTACTAGAATATATTCTTACCGTTATCGCCATATCAGGAAAAAAAAAAAGAATGTGTAAGAATGAGAGAGTAAGAAATATCTGACAGTTTTCTCACACCTACATCATAGCATGTAAACTCATGAAAACTTATAAAAGAGATTGGTTCGACACGATTCTGTCAGTAATTATTCGTATCTGCGTTCTCATACATGGTGTCCTTGTATGCAAAGTATTAAAGTAAGAAGGACGAGGTTAAAACATTATAAGGAATAAGTAGTGGTATTTAATTATTATCTCTTTCATAAAACTAACACATAAGATTGAGATAATAAGATAGAAAGGAAGTAACAGTCAAGCAGTTCAAACGTTTCCAATTCAAATCATTTTCGAACGTGCAAAGGTACGGTTTACAATTCACAATCGTACTCGAATGTTTGATTAAAAAATAAGGAAAAAGAAAAACTCATTGTTCAATTGAAAAAAAAAAAAAATAAACAAGTGAATATCAGTGAATATTTGTGAATTGAAATTAATTGTTTTAGATGTTAAATTAAAACAAAACAAAAAATGAAATATAAAAAATATTCGTAATAAATATTCATAGTTTCTCAAGATGGGAAAATTAGTGTCTGACGAAGTACACGTGAGTTTATAAACTACATATATCTTTTTTATGTATTAAATATTGTTAGTTTATTTTTATTTATTTATTTTTTTTTTATAAAATAAGAACAATTAATTTTGTAGAATACGAGTGGTATTGTTAATGAAGGTTTTCGATTGGAAACTATCGAATTGGAGAATGGAAAAAGTAATGATTCCAATATTCAGAAGATTAATAATCTTACTGATGAACAAGATAAAAACACCATAGAAATTCATGACACGGTATAGACATAATTTTAATATTTTTATTTACAAAAAAGAATATGTGTTTTTCTAAAAGTTATTCATTGTTTTTTCTAATAACTTTTTCACATTTAAAAATTTTTTTTTTTTAATTTTTAATAATATATTTTTTTAGAATGAAGTGAAAAGACAAGCATGGGGTGGTGGATTAGATTTTTTAATGGCCTGCATAGCCACATCGGTTGGTCTTGGAAATGTTTGGAGATTTCCATTCACAGCTTATGAAAATGGTGGTGGTGCATTTTTAATACCATACATTATTGTTCTATTGTTTATTGGTAAACCATTTTATTATTTGGAAGGATTGTTGGGTCAATTTACGAACAAATCTTGTGCGAAGACATGGGAAATGACACCAGCCATGAGAGGTTTTTTATATAATTATAAAAATATAATATATAATAATATTAATTATAAAAATTATAATTATTTAATTCTATTATTATTATTTAATTATAAATTAATTAATTATAAAAGTATAATAAAATACATGTTTTTTTTTTCTAATTCCATAAATCTTAAAATCCATAAAATATTTATTTTAAATAATAATAATAATTATTAAAAATTATATAATATTAGATCATATATATATAATTGATAAAATATTAACTTTAATTAATAATAATAAATAAATTTGAAATAAAGATTATTTTCATTTCTAGATTAGAATATATTAATCTTGATACCATTTATAGGATTAGGATATGGACAGGCTTTCGCAGCATTCGCAGTTGTGTCGTATTATTCAAGCTTGATGGCCTTGACTATTTATTACTTGATAGCAAGTTTTCAATCGGAATTACCGTGGTCGTTTTGCCGTGATGAATGGAAAGGACAATGTTTAGATTCCATTCTAAACGATACGTCAATCAATAATACTACCATACGTCAAAGTTCAGCAGAATTATATTTTAGGTAAACACTTCAAATTCTCTGATCAAATTCAAAATCTATAATCTAATTTGATTAGTAACATTTGATTTATTTAATTTTTAGAAAAATCGTTTTGAAAGAATACGATTCAATAGAAAATGGTATCGGTACACCGTCCTGGGAACTTGCAATTTGTTTATTGGTCAGTTGGTTTTGCATATTCGGTGTACTTTGTCGTGGTGTTAAAAGTACAGGAAAAGCTGTATACTTTTTAGCAATATTTCCATACATTATGATGATAATATTAATGGGAAGATCGGTAACTTTGGATGGTGCAATCGATGGAATATTATTTTTCGTAACACCAAAATGGGATATGTTATGGAACCCAAACGTTTGGTATTCAGCTATAACTCAATGTTTCTTTTCATTGTCTGTTTGCTTTGGACCAATTTTGACTTATTCCTCGTATAATAATTTTGGTCATGGTGTTAGCAGGTAAATAAATATCTCACCATAGTTTTTAATCCTATCTCAAACATATTCCAATAATAATAATTCAACATTTATCTGAATTTTAATCGTAAAAGGGACGTAATGATAGTAACAACATTGGACACATTTACCAGTTTGATGGCTGGTTGTACAATATTTGGAATACTTGGAAATTTAGCTCACGAAATGGGTGTTAGTGATATATCCAAAGTAGTTAAAGGTGGAACTGGTCTGGCATTTATCTCATATCCAGAAGCTTTGGCTAGATTCGATGTTGTTCCTCAACTTTTCGCAGTATTTTTCTTCGTCATGATGTTTGTCCTTGGTACTGGAAGTGCTGTAGCACTTAACGGTGCCATCGTTTGTATATTCTGCGATCATTTTCCAAAAGTTAGCCAATGGATCGTGGTTTTACTTATCAGTATCGTTGGTTTTCTCATTGGTCTTATTTACATCACTCCAGTAAGTAAATTTAATTGAAAATATAATTAAATAATAAAATAATAATTATATAACATTTATTTTAGGGTGGTCAATGGTTCGTAACTTTGGTCGATTACTATGGGGGAACATTCGTTGCTATTATCATCGGTGTCCTTGAAATGATTACGATATTTTGGATTTATGGTTTATCCAATTTTTTAAATGATATTGAATTTATGATAGGAACAAGGCCAAATTTTTATTGGAGGTTTTGTTGGTCAATCATCACACCGGTATTAATGATTGTAATACTGATTTATACAATTGTTTCTTATCAGCCACCGACGTACGATGGTATGCTTTTTCCAGATTATGCTTATGGTTTGTATAAATAGAATTATTTGATTAATATGTATTATATCGATTCAATTTTATTGATCTAATTAAAATAACATTATTTTAGGTATCGGATGGTTCCTTGTTTTCATTGGTATCGGTTTAATGGTTGTTTGGTTCATTTACATATTCATGAAAAATATGTCAACGTCAATTATCGAAGTAAGCTTGATAAAAAATATTATGAATGAAAATTATTTGTAATATTATTTTTAATATTATTTTTAGACATTGAAAACATCTTTAAGACCATCGGAGACAAAGTGGGGACCGAACGATCCTGCTACGAGAAGAAAATGGCAGGATTTCATTTACGAAAAAAAATGTCGACCTCCTAAATCGATAATCGAAATTTATTTTAGATAATATTATATGTATTTATGATTTAAATTTAGATATGATTAAGATACGTTTGTATGTGAATATTAAAATTATTCATTATATATATTCTAACTTTACTCATATTGAGTTTAAATCAGTTTGTACATAGGTATGGCATCGAGAAGAAATTTTTACGGTTGAGAGATGAACATAATTGGAAATGTAAATGATGAAAAAGATGATTATCCAGTTAAATTGTCAGAATATACAAGAAAATGATTGTACATGCAATTTATTTTTAATGATTATTACATAAGTATCATCATTTAGTTTTAACATTTTCATCGATAAATATTTTATTATTTTTAATAATCATTTAAAACATCATTTTAGTACGAAGTATTTATAAATTGATGAGAATATATTTTTTGTTGTTTTTATAATTATTTCATTGTTAATTTGTTTTAACATTAATTGTAAATAAATTTTTAAAAATGTTCTACGAAATCTTCGAACATTTTTTTCTCTTCTTGATATATAACAATATTTTATATTAATTTATTTGAATTGTTATTAATCATTTATTCAACACAATAATATTAATCATTAAGTACAATACAGTTTGTGTTATCTCAAGCATAAAATAATTTCATTGAGGTTGAAGTCATTAAAGAAATATATTTACAATTTTTACTTATCTTTACGACGGAATTTACAAAACATGAAATTAATTCTGATAAGAAAATCTTATTTTATTATTCTTTATAATCATCTTTCCTTCATCTCCTTTACTATTATCGTTTATACATAAAAAAAAAATGTATCTTATTAGATTGAATATTGAAATAGAACATTATCACGATTATTGAATTCTATGCGTAGATTCAACTTTCGAAGTATGAATCATTTGATACGATCCTTCGATCGTGTTACGTGGTTTTTAAAAAAAATTTACATATATATATATATATATATATATAAATCAATAATAAAAAAGTAAAAATATAGGTCGAATAATGTATAATAATTATTTGTTATATTAATAATTCATTAATTAATACAATAAAGTTATTTTTCTATATTCTAAATTGTATATAATTGTAATATATTGTATAATTATTTTTTATAATAATTAATTATTTAACATGATAAAGTTATTTTTCTATTCTCTAAATTGTATAATAATTATTTTTATTAATAATTAATTATTTAACACAATAAAGTTATTTTTCTATTTTTTAAAATTATATAATTAGAAAAAATTGGAATTATTTATCAAAGTCATTTAAAATTAAATCAAAAATTTAACAAAAAAAAAAAAAACAAGCTTAATAACTAATCAATATTTTAGAATAAAGATTATTTATTTGAAAATAAAATATGTATAATGAAAAATATTATTTTTTCTATTATAATTTTAAATCGTTAGATTTATGATTACGAAAAGTTGCAACTTAATTGAGTTTTTAGTTGTATGCGAAAAGAATCAAATATCATTTAGGTACATGTATATATATGTATATATATGTAGTGTAATCATCATTAGTATGAATCTAACAATATATATTGACAAATACAGACAGTGAATGTAGTACTTGTTAAATGTAAACGAATATACGAAGTGAAAGAGATTTACTAAGCAGTCTCTCAAGTTCCGTCAACTTGTTAAGACGTATGTTTATATTTTATCGAGAAACGAAATAAATCAAATATAACTTATAAGTGTTAGAGTGTATTTTATGTATATGTGTGTGTGTATGAGTGAGTGTCCGCTTATTGAAAATCGCGTGCGTGTTAGTACGCCAAGAAAAAATTATGCGCCAATCCAAACCAAAGGTTCGTCGAACTACGTTAATCAATTATGTTTGACACTTTCACTTATTATTAAATTTAGAAAAACTATTAATTAAATAAAATGTCAAATTAAATCGTTCATTTCATATTTTAAGTAAATTTGTTAACATCAAACAAAAATGATTAATAATTAATCAAACATGTTTGATACTTTCACTTATTATTAAATTTAGAAAAACTATTCCTAATGAAATCATTAATTTCATATTTTAAGTTAAGTTGTTAACACATCAAACAAAAATTATTTGTTCAACAAAATTTTATTTCAATTACGAGAGCATTGAAATGGGTGACAAATATGTTTGATGGAAAATTGTCTTTTTATTTTATATTTTTTGATTATTTTTTTTATTGTATATTTTTTTTTTTCTGGTATGGAAAATATTTATTTGATATTTTATGTTATTATAATATAAATTATGTTATTTATTTTTTATTTAAATTTAAAAGTATTTTCTATACTCTTTTTTTTTTTATTTTATATTTATTGAGTTATATTTTTTTTTCCGATATGGAAAGTATTTATTTGTTATTTTATATTATTTTTGGCAATATACATATATATATATATATATTTTTTTTTAATTTTAATTTAAAAGTATTATACTAATTTAATTTATAATTTTTCTTTTTTTTTATGTTCTTTAAAAATAAGAGTCATGTATTTTTATAGGACATTAATATTAGTATGACAAACATGATACAATTGTTAATCCGTGTAAGGTCGTCGAAACGTTGATTGTATTATCTCAAAACATTATTCGTACTAAAGAAAATTTAATAATGATAAATTCTACGAATGAGATTGTTTTAAGACCGTACACGATCATAAATTCTACTAATAATTGTTCTTATTCATGCTTATACTTTTTATTGAAAGTAAATAATGTAATCATTTAGAAACAAAGAGGATATAAAATCCAGTTAATTGTGTAATAATCTACACTTGCGTAATTTTAGCAATGAAAAATTAGCATTAAGAGGATTTAACTGGATAACTTTTCTTCACAAAGGCTGATAAGAATTGTAAATGAATGATGTTTCTAATTTTGATATTTTATATTTTTACAAGGATGTAAAATTAAAGTATATTGAGAAACAGAAATGAAATGAATTAAAAAATTAATTTTTTATAGGATAATGACATTGATAACGAAGGGACACCCGGTATATACACTTTATCTGTTATATCAGACAGTAGAAATAATCTCGATATTGGGGTAAGTTCAGAGAAACAATTAAATAATTTATTTAAATTAATATATAAATATTATATATTATTTTATTTGATGTAAAAAAGTATTTATTGTCAAAGTTTATAAAATAAAATGTAATACACAGGATGATCCAAAAATATTGAAATAATTTACAAAATTAATAAATTATTTTTACCTTAATTTGTTATTCAAAGTATAAACAAGTATCTTACATTTAAAAAAAATAAAACTAATTAATTTAAAACAAAAAATCATCAAAATTTTTGGAATATCCTATTTTATTTATTATAAAATTAATTTATAAACATTGTTGAAAGTTAATAATATATTTTGTAATTTTGATTTATCGCGTCGTAGAATTCAACGACGGTGTTGGTGTCCGATCAAAAGGAGAAAGAAAGAGCTAAGTGGGGAAGTGAATTAGAATTTTTAATGTCATGCGTAGCTTTTTCTGTTGGCCTTGGTAATGTTTGGAGATTTCCATATACGGCATACGAAAATGGAGGAGGGGCTTTCCTAATACCTTACATAATAGTATTATTTATAATAGGAAAGCCAATATATTACATGGAAATGATTTTGGGACAATTTAGTAGCCGTTCTTGTATTGACATATGGTCAATATCACCGGCTTTCAAAGGTCATGACAAAAATTTATAAAAATACATATATTAGGTTATTAAACTATGAAATATGTCTGATTACTCAGATTATTTTCATCTCGAAATCAGACATTTCATATTTAATGACCTAATATAATATTCTTTTTTAAGGATTTTTGTACATTTCTTACAAACACTTTCTCACACCTATTCAATATTATCTTTTTGAATCAACAATAAATAATTTCTTGTTTTCAAATTAATTGGATTTGTTAATTTATTTATTTTGTAAAAATGTATTATTATATTATATTTTAGGTATTGGTTATGGTGTTACAATGGCAGTATTTGCAGTAGTCACTTATTATTCAGCACTTATGGCATTGATAGTATATTATATGATAGCAAGTTTTCAATCTGTACTTCCATGGTCATATTGTTGGGATGATTGGGGTGATATTTGTTTCAATAATACCTTAACGTCAAATCATACAAACATTGGCAACAAAAGCAGCTCGGCTGAATTATATTTTAGGTATTTATATTTAATTTCATTTATAATAAAACATATTTAATATAAATATGTCATAATAATATAAATATGTTTATTATGTATAATGTTTTTAATTATATTGTATACATAAACATACAAGTACAGTGTATGTACAATTTATTGTACAATATTGTACAATAAACGTACAATACGCAAACACATATTTTATTTGTTTATTCAGGAAAGTTGTTCTTAATGAAACCAATATTGACAATGGATTAGGATTACCATCTTGGAAATTAGTATTATCTTTGTTAGCAAGTTGGGCATTTGTTTATGGTGTAATTTCTAAAGGTGTTAAAAGTACTGGGAAATTTTCTTACTTTTTAGCTTTATTCCCATACATTATTATGATTTGTTTGTTAATAAGAGGTGTAACTTTAAATGGTGCCATCAATGGAATAATATTTTTATTCAAACCAACATGGAATAAAATCTTTGATCCATCAGTTTGGTATGCGGCTGTTACGCAATCATTTTTTTCCCTTGGCGTTTGTTTTGGTGCCGTAACCATGTATTCATCGTATAATAACTTCGATCATAACGTATCAAGGTAGGTTAAATAACTATAATCATTTTTGATTCATACAACTCGAACTATTTTCACGATCTGTATCTTTTTAATGTTAGGTAAAACATACCTCGAATGAAAAACATTGAAAAAATAAACAAATATTTTGACATATCAATCGTAAATATCAAATTTTATCTGCAGTTTTTGTAATAGATTTTTTGAACGGTTGCATCAGAGTTTAAAAGTGTAATTAACTTGAAACATCTTCAAAATATAGATTGCCTAATCTTAATGGCTATTCTATAGAATTTATATTCTATTATATATATATATATATATTATATAATAGAGTATATTCTTATTTTTTATATTTATATAAAATTTATATATTTATTTTTATATTTTGTATTTATATTTATATTTATATTTATATTATATAATAGAATATATTCTTATTTTTTATATTTATATTTTATATTTATTATATATTTTTCACATTATATATATTTCTATATATAAAATTTAGACTAAGAATTCCTAGGGAATTTATACAACATTCAAATTCTGTATATTAATCATAACATATACATATGATTGTATAGATATTTGAAAGATTGGTAAAAGATTTGATTAACAGATAACATATAGATATAAATATTATATCTATATAAATCTATCAATTAATATATACACGTATATATCTTTACTCTATCATTCAAAATAAATATACATTAATAAAAAAGACCAAAAAAAAAAAATATAATAAATACTGTAATACTTGTTTTTAATTACATCATCAAAAAATTGATCTATCTCGTAGATTATTAGATGTAAGATAACATTGATGATTAATTAATACAGGATGTGTAAATATATCTATCATCTATTTGATTTACAGAGATTGTTTGATAGTAACAACAATGGACCTTTGCACCAGTTTAATTGCTGGTACCACAATATTTGGTATACTTGGAAACTTAGCTTATGAAATTGGTACAGATGATATAAGTACTGTTGTAAGAGCTGGAACTGGTTTAGCATTTATTTCATATCCTGAAGCATTAGCAAAGTTCACGGCCGCTCAACAACTTTTCTCAGTATTATTTTTTCTAATGCTATTTGTATTAGGAATTGGTACTACTGTTGCATTCAGTGGTGTTATCATAAGTATCATTAAAGATCAATTTCCTCGTATCAGTCAATGGAAGATATCTGCTTACTTTTGTTTCATTGGCTTTCTTATCGGCATTGTTTATTGTACTCCAGTAAGTTTGTTTGTGTTTGTTGTTTTTGTTATATATAATATTTGTATGTCAAAAACAAATATTTTCTTTAATATATAAAAATAATTTCAATAATAAAATTAATAAGAATTATTGAATAATATAAGAATAATTTTTAAATAATAAAATTAATATATAATAATAATTTAATATAAAATCTTAAATAAATAAGTCTTCCTAACTGATTAAACAATTTTATTTATTTTTTCTTTATAACTTTTTAAATTATTTGTATTTTTTTTTTTTTTAAATTATATGATTACGAAAAAAATATATAAAAAATTAAATTGAAATATTTGATAAAAAGAATAATTTGTAATACCATTTAGTAACAAATTTTGCTTAATCTTTGGTAAATTTAATTAAATTTCTAATTTTTTGTTTTTTTTACAGGGTGGACAATATATTCTCAACTTGGTTGATTATTTTTGCGGAACGTTCATTTTAGTAATACTTGCGTCATTCGAAGTAATTGCGATATCCTGGATATATGGTATATGATTAAAATTCTATAGTAACGGATATATATATATATAAGTTCATAGTTTTTGTTTTCTTTTTCTTTTCCTCCTTTTACTTCATGTAAAAAAAAAAAAAAACATCATTTTTCACAGGTATAGATAATTTTATCGACGACGTTGAATTTATGTCCGGTACAAGGCCATCTTTCTATTGGAGATTTTGTTGGGGTATTTTAACACCAATATCATTGTTCGTTATTTTAATTTATTTTTTATGCAGTTATGCACCATTGACTTATAACAATGAATATTATCCTAATTCTGCATACGGTAAGTTTTGTTTTAATTATTTATAATATTATTTTTATAATATTTATACAATTTCTTGTTGATTATTTATTTTTTATTTATTTTTAGCTGCTGGTTGGATACTTTTGATTATAGGTGCTTCACAACTTCCCATATGGATAATTATTTCTATTTTAAATAATAAAAATGCACCATTGTCTGTCGTAAGTATTTTTTTTTTTTGGTTTTTTGTTGGTGTTGTTGTCATTTTTATTATATATTTTCAATTTGTATAATTATAATCATCTTATAGGCATTTATTGCGAAGAATGATTGGGGTCCAAAGGATAAGAAAAGGTTTAAAAAATGGAAAGATTTTAAAGAATCCAAAAGAATACAAAATAATTCTATCAATGAACGTACAAAATTCATTCAATTTTTGTTCGGTAGGCAATAAATAAGAAAAATATATTATTTATATGTAATAAATTAGGTTTACTTAAAACACAATGATATAAATGTTTGTTTTTGTCACAGAACAATATTGTTTCCAATTGTTGTTCATCAGGAAACTAATATTGAAAATCGTTTATTATTTAAATTTAATTCAAATCATCGTAATTTGTCGATTTACTTATTTTAAATACTTTTTAGAAATAATTGAAAGTATTAATATATAAATTATTATTATTATTATTATTATTATTATTATTATTATTATTCTTGAGTTACATACGAAATTATATTACATGTATAATTGTTTAAATGTTTATTTTTTTATTTTAAATTATTTTATACACGAACAAACAGTTCATTGTAGATCACAAGCTTTAAATTTAAAGCATATTTCAGTCTCTGTATTTTTATTTAAAAGAATATCGAGGACATATTTCATATTCTTTTTTTTTCCCCTAAATATTGTCTATTATGGTTCCAAACCAAAAATAAGTCGAATAGTTTGCGACCATCTCGATCGTTGTCTCTTATTTCTAATCTTCATTTTGTCTTCTTTGAATATTAACCATTCTTTACGATATTTCATTTCTTTCGGTCCCCATTGTGATGTTGGTTGAAAAGCTTTTTTAATTCTCTGTACAAAAAAAAAAAACAAACAATATAATTTAATTAAATGTTAAATTTTATGTTGAATTAATTTTATGTTTAAAGAAAAAAATAATAAGAATTGTTATAATATTAATAATATTGTTAATAATAGTATTATTATAATATTATAATTATTTATAATATATATATAGTAATATACTAATAGTAATATACTACTATAATACTATACTAATAGTAATATATTACTATAGTAATATATAGAGTAATATTACTATTATTACTGCTATTTAACTTACTAGTAAAATAAATACTAACACACAAATAACTCACTATTAACTAATACTAATTAACTATATACTATTACTAAGTAGTAATATACTATAATATAGTATAATATTATTATAATAATAGTATATTAATAATATTATTAATGATATTATTAATAATATTATTTTGTAAAAACAAATTAGCATAAAATTATTTATTATAATAATATTATAATGATACACTGTAATAAATATAATTTATTTTGATACTTAAAAGTATCTTCATTTGTTTCATTTAAATTATACTTAAATATTTAATAAAAATTAAACATTTTTAATATGACGTAACAGTTAAGATTGTAATGATAAGATGATATATGACTTGTGAATTAAAAATCATTGATAGATAATCAAATTAATCTTATCATATCTTAATTAAATTTCATTTATTTTGTATTATTTATCATTTCTCGAGAAATTTGATTACCAATCGAGATTTTATTCATAAGAAATAGATTAAAAATAACATACTTCTTTTAATGGTAAGTGTTTATTTTTGAGTATAGCCAACAGCATCCAAATTGGTATTTGTAAAATACCCATACAAAGTATTATCACACCAACGGCATGAGCACCAATTGGAAATGATTTGCCAGCGTAAACCAATGGCGACATATTTGCGACAGTGTATAAGAAAATGACGATCAGTATAACGGGTGTTATTCCAAACCAACATACTCTCCAAAATACAGTTATTTTCATATCCAACATGAATTCAATATCATCGATGAAGTTTTCGAATCCTGTATTTTTTTTTAAACGTTAATTCTCTCTCTCTCTCTCTCTATCTCTCTCGTTTATATTTTTATTGTATTATATATATTAGGTTTACCGGAAAATTTTGTTTGTTGAAACAAACATTAGTTCAATTTTTCGTTACTAGGGGTAAGGCTCCATTTCTTACAATGGAATATACAAATTGCCACCATGTTGGCAAGAGTTCAAAAGTAATTCAATTAATTAACTTATAGAAAAAACCTCACTACTTTTCGGAAAAAACCTTACTATAGAGGTGTTTACTACACTAACAGAGGTGTTTAGTTACCATGCATTTTTTAGTTACCAGAAGCAACTCGTCTCATTTCTTTGAATTAAAAACTTGCTTACTGTGTAATATGTTATCTATTTATATATGTTTTCAATAAAACGTATAATAATTTTTGAATGTGATAATAATAATATAATAATAATATTATAACAAATAAACCCTACAATTATCCTACTCCTGATATTCTGCAGTCGTCTTATTCTCTCGAAACTTAGATTTTCAAAGGTTTCCCTTCTAACACGTGTGATCTGCCCACATGATATTTTTTTATTTTATTTTAAAAATAGACAGTATTTTCCGGTAGACCTAATATATTGCATAAAATATTAATTTATTAATCAAATTTAAACTTACCATATACATGAATGATACCAATCATTTCAAAAGAAGCTAAAATGAATACAACGAAAGAAGTACCATAATAATCTGCTAAAACAAGAACCCATTGTCCACCCTTAAAATAAATAAAAATTATTATCAAACAAAATTAATCTGATAAATGAAATAATTATGAAAATCAAATTTTATTCTTACCGGTGTGACGTATACAATTCCAATTAAAAATCCAAAACAACACAATGGTACGACAATTTGCCATGGTTTCAATTTAGGAAATTGTTCATAAAGGATAACAAAAAGACTCGATGTCATACCAACGCAACTACCAATCCCAAGAACAAACATCATCACGAAGAAGAGAACGGAAAATAACTGCAACGATGATATCGAATATTGCATGGTTTTCTATTTTTTGTTTTGTTTTGTTTATCTCTACTTTTAGAAAGCAGAAGTATTAGATAAATCATAGATCTTTTAGTGTTTGATGAGTTACTTCAAAACAAAAATTCTTTACCTGAGGAACAACATCGAATTTAGCTATTGCATCAGGATAAGAAATGAATGCCAGACCAGTGCCATCTTTTACTACTGAACCTACATCATTAATATTCATCTCGTAAGCAAGGTTACCAAGGATTCCAAATATTGCACAACCTGCGATCATGCTGGTAAATGTATCCAATGTTGTAATGATCATTGCATCTCTGTTCTTACAGAAAAAAAAAAATCCAATTGGTACGAAAAAATTATTTCATTAATTTCTAATTATTAATTGATAATAATAATAATAAAATTAATTAATAATTAATTAAATAATTAATATTCTAATTAATAATTCTAATAATTATTTTTTAATTATATTTAATTTTTTTATTGTTGAGGACTTAAATCACTATAAATTATTTCTTAAATAATTTTTAATCGATTTAGTTAATAATTATTGTTCTAATAATTTTGTTTTTCTTCACTATTTTTCTATAATAAATTCTAACTTTTTTTAAAAATTTAAATTAAGTCAAATCAATAAAAAGAGGAACGATAAAATGATATTAATTTATCAACGAACCTGTAAATGTTATGTTTGAATCCATTTTGTGCGGAATACGTGACAATTGCACCAAAACAAACAGATAGAGAGAAAAAACATTGGGTAACAGCGGCATACCAAACTTCAGGTTTCAACAACATTTCCCATTGTGGTTCAACAAAAAAAAGTATACCCTCGGCAGCACCATCCAATGTTACTGAACGTATTAACAAGGCTATTAATACTATATATGGAAAGATTGCTAGAAAATATGATGCCCTTCCAGTACTTTTAACACCTTGGAAAAGTATTACGCAAACGGAAAACCAACATCCAAACAAGCAAAGTGTTAATTTCCAATCTGGTAATCCGATTCCATCGTCTATGCTATCTTTCTCGTGTAATACTGATTTTCTAAAATAAAATATAATTTTTATTTTGAATGTTAACAAATCATTCATGTTAAAATAATGATTTAAAGTATGTAATTTAATTGAAAATAAATACTCACAAAAAGTATAGTTCAGCAGAGCTTCTATAAACAGGTTTTTCACTCAAATTACTATCGATTTTATACAAGGTATCGTTTTTTTTTAAAAATAACGTATCATTGATCATCATTCTACTTTCTTTTTTACTCGAGGAATCTATACAAAAATCTTTCCATTCTTCGAGACATTTTGACCATGGTAATTCGGCGGAAAATGATGAGATCAAATAAAAAAGTGTTAAAGCCATCAACGAACTATAATAAGTTGCTAAAATTATTGTCGAAGAGAACTGAGCCCAACCGACACCTAAAAATATACAAATTATAATATTTAATTATTGTATTATTATTAATTGTATAAATAATTGATATAATATAATATAATAAATTAATGTAATATTAATATATTAAATAATTGTATTAATATTATTATTATTATTAATTAATTATTAGTATAATTATTTTTTATTTATAATATTGTTATGTTTACATTTAATTATTATCTTATATTATAGGAATGTGAAAAATAATAAATATATTTATAAATACCAACAAAAGCAGGTGAAACATTCCAAACACGTATAGATGAACGTCCAGAAAATTGTCCCATTATCATTTCCATAAAATAAAATGGTTTTCCAACGAGAAATAACAATATAACGTATGGTATTAAAAATGCACCACCACCATTTTTATATGCGGTAAATGGAAATCTCCAAATATTACCAAAACCTATAGACATGGCAATGCAAGACATTAAAAATTCTATACTATTGTTCCAAGATCCTTGACTTTCATTTTCCTGAGCTTTTTCTAAATCTTTTAAATCGGAAACACGTGATTCATTGTGTTCATTATCAGATATTTCAATATTTCTTTCATTGGTTGTTTCAAAAGCTGGATTATCGTAACTCCTTTCACTTCCATTTTTCTGTAACATAATTTTAATATGATTTTTGTATTACAAAATGTAATTATTTATTGTATTATTTATTTTTAAATATAATTGACACTTATTTGAACATTTGCAATACAATTATTGTTTATGTTTTAAACTGATAGAAATAATTTTTGAAAACACTACAACACACCATTATTTATCATTTAATTTAATAAAATATTGTAATATTATTTTCTATTTTTATTTTTTTTTTATTTTCCACTAAAGCCAAACAATTTTTGAAGACGACAATAAACGTGAATGGATGACCCGTTTGAAGAAACAAAAAACAAGAACCGTTTGCTGTTGATTCCAGAGAGACAGTGAACCACTTTTGTAACATTAAATCAATGTAAGAAAATGTTCGTAGAAAGAAATGTAACTCATAAAAGAGAGACAAAAATACAGAATAAAACTATAAACATTATTTATAATTTATTTTTTAAATTATATACTTAGTAATAAAATTTTATTTGTAACTTTAATGATCGAAATGTTTAATAACTGGTATAAAACCATAAACAAGGAATAAGATACTTTTTCTCTCTTTTAATTTTTAATTGTATTGTCTTAGTATTGTCAACCTTACACACTTATTACACGTGTAACGTATTATTTAGTTACCAAGAATGTCATTTGAGACCATCTAAAACCCACGCGTTTTTTTATCGAAGATCATAAAACTTAATTGCTAAATAAGTTTCGTTAGACAGAACATTTAAAACATACTTTTACTTATATGTACATTTAAAAGTACTTTGTGCTATTGAATACATTTAAAAAAAAACAAAAAACAAAAAAAAACAAAAAAGAAAAGATTTAACATAATCGTCACGTTAATTACATCGATATCATACAAAGTCTTACAAATTACTACGAATAACACTCTTGTCCTTTTTTTAAAAAAAAAAAGCAATTTATTATCACAACCAACTAGCAACTATCACGACTTACCGTATTTTTTGACATTTCACTAATAATTGGAAAAAAAAAAACAAATTGGAAAATGAAAGGTACGATTTATCGAATCTTTTTTTTTTTTAAACGAACATTCATACGATGTAGATTACTCGAATAAGAAACACTCGAAAATAAACTTTTGACGATGTTACGATTTCCGAAGTCTTTTTATATAATCCACGAAATACCCCTACCCGTCCTCCCTCCTCTTTCCCCACAACTATACCAAGATAAAGATAATAAATATCTATCAGGAAAAAACGAAGGAAAAAAAAATATATTAAATTGATGCTTAAGTCTCGGAGATCATTAAGTACATAAGAGATAGATAACTATAATATATATGTTTGTGTATGTATGAAGTAATCGATATTTCAAATCGATGTCACTTTCTTCCGTTCGATAAAACTTGCAAAAGGTTATATACTTAATTGTAAACGCTTTTAAAGTATACTTTTTGATTGAGATTGATGTGTCTACGTATATATATATATGTATATGTGTGAGATTAGGTGATCCCTCACAGCAGGTTATTCACACACACTTTTTTCTTTTTTTCATTGAATTTCATACGTGATACTTCAAAAAATGAAAAAAATAATAATAATAATAATAATAATATCAGTTTTATCTTTGAAAACGATGAAATCTAGATATTTTTGATTTATTTATAATAATATCGATATATATATATATATGTATTTCAATATCTATCCAATTTGATTTCATTCATCGTAAAAAACTACTTAATTGTTAATTAATAATAATATTATTTTGATATTTTATTAATCGTTTATTTTATTTTATATTTTTAGAATTATATTAGATCAAAAGTGTATTATATGACAAGTTAAATATAATAATATTTTATTTAAATTATTATTAATAATTGTAAAATACGTAAATCAATTATAAATTGTTTTAATAAAATTCCTTTGTTTTATTTTTATTATTATTTATAACATTAAATTAAGATCCATTAAAATTATATTATCATTTTCATTTAAGAAATATGTTTTATGGTATAATAATTACATGAGAAGAAACACAATTAAGAATTAATTAAAGATAATATTTTTTGTTTTCAATTCAATACTATCGACAAGTAACAGATTTGAATAATTTATAAAATATGTTGGCATTTTTATTTTCGATTTCTTCTTCTTCTTCTTCTTTCATTTTCCTTCGATGTTCTTTAAATTCCAACCATTTTTTCTTCGTCTCGTTGTTCGATGGACTCCAATGTTTTGATGGTCGAAATGATTGAAAAATTATCTTTAAAATATAAATTTGTACAAATAATATGATATATAAATATATTTCATAAAATAATACAACAAATTTGGTTTTCATTATTGTTTACCTCAGGAAAAGGTAAATGTCTATTTTTCAATATGGCGACTAATATCCATAAAGGTATTTGCACAACAGCAATGGAAAAAAGTATCCAACCGATAACTAAAAAAGAAAGATTTTAAAAAATAACACAAAGTATTGCATATAAATTATATAATATTAAATAATATTAAATATATACAAAATAATATTAAAATAATATTAAAAATAATATTAACCCCTTAAGTTGCACGCTCGAGTTAACTCGAGCGACATTGTATTACATTGAGCCAAAATTGTTCCTTAAGGGGTTAAAAATAAAAAAACAAACAAAAAGTATATATAATAAATATGTACCATAAGCTATGTTAGGATAAAAAAGACCATTGTAAGTTAACAATTCCAAATTAATCATATTATAAATAAAAATCACAGTGATTATTCCAGGAGTTAAAATACTCCAACAGAATTTCCAAAAACACGATAATCGTCGATTTAACATAAATTCAACGTCTTCCAGAAAATTATTGACACCTATGAAAAAAAAAAAAAGAAAAAACAATTTATTTAATCATTCGAACATAAACATAACTATTTAATAATTTATTTAAAAATAACAAACAAACAAACAAACAAATTCACCGTAAACCCAAGAAACCACGATCATTTCAAAAATGGCTGGTATTAAAGCAAGAAACGAAGTTGCATAATAATCTATAAATGTTACCATGAATTGTCCACCCTAAAAAAAAAAAAAAACAGTAACTAAATATATATTTTATCTTTTTATCAAAAATTTAACTATACAAATATCTCTTTTTTTTTTTTTTTAATATAAAAAATTATACCGGAGTGACGTATAACAATCCGATAAGAAATTCAAAGAAACACGTCCCAGCTGCAACATGCCAATGTTTCCAATTTGGAAATTGATCATTAATAATCGATATTATACTAGAAGTAAGTCCAACCTCGCTACCAATTCCAAGAACAAAAATCATTATGAAAAATACAACGGCAAAAAATTGTGGTAAAAAATCAAACTTGACGATTGTTTCTGGATAAGAAATAAATGCCAATCCTGTTCCACCACGTACAACAGAGCTAATATCTTTAGCTCCTAGTTCGTAACTAAGATTACCCAATATACCAAATATAGTACAACCTGCCAAAAAACTGGTCAAGGTGTCTAAAGTTGTCACTATCATTGCATCCCTAAAAAAAATAAATTATAATAAAAAATAAATCTCAAAATATAGGATTGAAGTGAAGTGATTGTGAATTTTGTCAATAGATGGCTTTTTAAACTCAGCAATGACTTAGTTGCCAATCCAATAATATTGTCAAATTAAATTGATTATTGTTATTGTTTTAAATAATTATTAATTATCTATATTTTATAAAAATAAATTTACATTTAAGAGAGCATTGGTAAATCAAAATTATTAATTCTCAAAATATCAATGCAAATTAATTCTTATCAAATATATATATATATTAAACGATACTGACCTATAAATATCATGATCAATCTTGTTGTGAGAAGCAAACATAACAACGGCACCAAAACATACAGTCAATGAGAAAAAACATTGTGCAACTGCATTATACCAGATACTAGACGTTAACAATTTGTCCCAATTAGGTGTAATAAAATAAAGTATACCATTGGCTGAACCATCCAAAGTAACAGCTCTGATCAATAATATAAACATTACGATGTATGGAAATATTGCTGTAAAATAAGCAGCCTTGCCGGAACTTTTGATACCACGAACGACAATGATAAAAATACAAAGCCAACTGATGAATAAGCAAATTGTCAAACGCCAATCGGGTAATCCAATTCCATCATCAATGTTTTTCTTTTCACGTAGTACTTCCTTGCTAGGCATAGATAACTTAACAGATCATCGATTTATAAATTGAAGTTTATTTAGAAAAATATTATTTATGTTAAATACTCACTAAAAATATAATTCAGCTGAACTGAAATAAGTTACGTTGGAAAGGGTGGTATCATTTGAAAAAATTTCATTATCTTTCGATGAATTAACGCAATAATTACCCCATTCCTTTTTACATTTACCCCATGGTAATTCTGATTGAAAACTTGCGACCAAATAAAATAATGTTAATGCCATTAACGAACAATAGTACGACGTTAATGCCAACAGTGTAAGAAATTGGGCAATACCAATACCTATGATAAAAAGAATTATTTAAAAAATCATACTAATTTAAAGAAATTGAAAATATATCAAATGGTAACCTTTGAAGGCAGGTGATATTTCCCAAATTTTAATAGCAGATTTACTCGAAAATTGTCCCAAAGTCATTTCCAATAAATAAAATGGTTTCCCAACAACGATTAGAATTATGATGTATGGTATTAGAAATGCACCACCACCATTTTCATAAGCAGTGAATGGAAATCTCCAAATGTTTCCTAAACCAACTGACATGGCAATGCAAGACATCAAAAATTCTTTATCGTTTCCCCATTGTGCTCTTTCCACCTAATTAAACAAAATCTTATAAAAATAAAAAGAATTAAGGTTTCATTTTTTACATATGAAATAATGAAAGAGACAAATTACTTACGGTGTTTTCAGAGACCGAATTAGAATCAGTTTGATTGTTGTTACATACTGTAATATCATCCAAACTGAAAGCTTCGTTTGTAATTCCATTTGTAATGTTGCAAGTCTAAATATATATATATATAAAATATTAATATTATTAATTAATGATAATAATGAATCAAATTGATACAAAATGAATCCAAAGTTTCTGGATAATTTTAAACATCAATTAAACTTGTTTGAAAAATACTTTAAACTAATTTGTTTTTGTGTTTTTTTTTGTTTATGATCTAGAAACTTTTGACTCACCTTGTATAACTATTTCATACACATGTCATATAAGAAGTATTAGCTAACATTCTAACAAACTATATATATATGTAATATACGTCAGCTTGATCACGAGTTTCAATCGTGAACAATGAACACCAATAGAATTACCCAGTTACCACTTACTCGTTGATCAAGAATCGTATCGAATGACGTTTTCGTTAGCCAAGCGGAAATATAATACATATTTTATGTAAAAGAAATATCGTATAACAATATGATAAATATTTACATGCATATATATATAATATATCCATCTTTTGTAAAATTAATTAATAAGAAATATTTGTTATACCTTTTTCCCCATGAATATCGAAGTATCTTCCACAATTGTATGTTTTAAGATTGTGAAGTACGTGTGAAGTTATTTTTTATTGAAGTTTACGTACCAAATTTGTGAACTCTATAAAAAAAAAAAAGAAATATAATATTAAATATACTGTAAATGTTTATGGTTGTTGTGTGTACAAAAAAAAAAACAAATCTTAAATATAATTTTATTAACGTAGTATGTGTTATTTTTATAACAAATTTAATTAAATAATCTAATAAATAGTATAATAAATTTAATAAATAATAAATGTGTATATTTATATGTGTGCATTGTGTTTTATAAAAAAAATCGTATATTTATATTAATAATTATAATAATAATAATAATAATACATGTGTGTTTATGGGAGCCAATTGGAGGTTTCTCTTTTGGATTTCTAAGCAAAGAAAAAAATTTTTTTTAATAAACCAATTAGCTTGAAAAAGAAGGAAAGTTCCGTCAAGGATTACGTCGCGAATAGGACTGACAAAGTTTCATACTCTTTTCTTTCATATTCCTTCTATAGATTAGATAAATAATTTTAATCTACCCGTTATTAAGATAACACAAGTAAATAAAGGAATTTTTTTAACGGTTTAATTGCATTTTTATTTTATTTATTTTTTTTTTTTTTTTTACGAAAAAAATGAACTAAAAATTCATGTCGTTCATTGCACCGAAGTTATATATTATTCTTACTTTTATATTATGAACACAATTTGAAATCACACACAATTTGTTTTATATTTATGAAAGATTATTATACACGTAGCTCTTTGATCCTTGATTATGATTCACAATTAATCAGATAACGTTAAACAATCATTAATAAACTCGTACATACGTATAACTTGTCATTCATATATGCACATTCTTAATTTTTTCTAACTGGTTGTGAAAAAATATTAAATGCACACGTTTTATATATACATATTTACATATATATATATATAAATTTCCCTCTCTTTCTTTTCCTAGTGGTAAGAATGAAAATGAGAAACGGAAGGGATAATTAGAATAAGAAAAAACAACTATTTTACATAAGAAACAAAAATGTTCTATTTTTATAAACATTTCTACTACTTTTATTATTCATCAAATATAAATCAAATTTTTACACACGACAATTTTATCGATTTATTTAATTTATTGAATTATTATTATATTCAAAATAAAAATATGTAAAAAAAACTACACTTTACTTCACATATATATATTATTATTATTATTTTATTTTATCTATTTAGAAATTTGTTATTTAAAATATGAAAAACGTATCACAGTCGGTAAAGTAGTTTTGACATTTATAAATCGATTAAAAATTGTTACATGCTACAATTGATTTATGGTAGTTCGGAAAGTCGTTTCGTTTTTCTTTTGTAAAAATGAAGACAATTTTTGCTTCGAGTTTAAACCTAAACCTTTCAGGTGATCATAAATAGTTGAATTTGATAAATTTAACCTTTCATCGATCTCATGTGTTACTATTTGACGATTTGCATCAATTAATGCCATTATTGCTTCAGCAAAAAACGAAACGGCTTTTTGAACCACCTATATTTTATTAATAAACGTTGAATTATCAATTAGGAAATTTGTTATTTAAAATATGAGAAATGTATCCAGTCGGTAAAGTAGTTTTGACATTAATAAATCGAATTAAAATCGATTAATCATATTTCGAATGAAATTAGGCGTGGATAATAAATAAACTGGTGTTTATAATTTATTAGATTGTTTATAATGACGATGGATAAAAATGGAAATTTTCAGGAAAATATTCATCGTGAAAGAGTTATTTTGCAAAAGAAAGGACGTCATGTTGAAGTTACGGGAGCTTATAACAAAAGAGAACTTCGACAACTTTTATTTTCATCTACTTCGATTTCACTAACCGATGACAAAGATGTAAGTGTATGAAGAAAATAAAGTAAAATGAAATAAAACTATTCAAATGTTAACACAATTTTATAAATGATTTTTTTTGTTATTTCTTCGTGATTATAAATATTCGTATTAAAATTATGGTTAAAATGTTTTAAATTATTTTTCTACTTAACTGTCAGATATATCAATGAAATTACTTAAAATCTACGTCAGTATATTTCCACAGAATTTGACACTTTCACATTTCGATTAGATTGAATCTCTTACTTTAGGATTTCTCGATAGAGAACAGAGAGGATTTTCAAAAATGATATTAAATTGAGCCAAGTTGATCTCGACGAGATAAAAGAAGATAAAATTGTGGAAATCAGTAATGGATGTGAACAAATTTTGAAGGATCTTCTTCAGCGAGTAATGAAACATATTCAAAATAATGATGAGGGAAAATATAATGAACGAAATAATATTGTCGAGAAAGATAAGAAAAAAAAGATAAAAGAAAAATCATTGGATGAAATTTTACGTGAAAGAGGACTGAGTCATAGCCTAATCAAATCTTTGTTAACTAATGGATTTACCGACGAATATATCAGGTTTGTATATATAAACAAACAAATTATTATTTTGAAATAATTCTTGTTATATATAGATAAATAACATTTTAACATGAACAACCAAATTGAATTATTTTCAACGTTTGACATACACACATCGTGTAAATTATAATAATACAAAGTCAAAATTTGTTTTTCAGACTTTTGAAAGCTTTGGGTTACCTCGAAAATGACGTAGAACAATTGAAATTAATTTGGCAAAAACAATTTCATGATTCAACAACAAATTCTATAAAATCCGATGATATTTGTGTTTCTTCCAAATCTTCAATGTCCGAATATTATTTTTCACCTGACGGTCATTATTTAAAATATTTTTTTAGCGATGCTTTAATACGTGCCCTTCCAGAAATTGCTATGAAAAAACCCTATGATCCAATTGAGTATCTTGGATATTGGTTGCTTCATTTAAAGGTTTGTTTATATTTGCAAAATTAATTATTTCAATTTGTTATTATTTTATATCCAAATTATATTTTTAATTATATCAAGTGTTTCATTTTAAACAACATGATCAAATATTTTCTATTATGTGTTACATGTTACAATAATTTTTCTATTATTTCTTTATACATGTGAAATATAAAAATATATTTTATAAAATATTATTATATTATATAAATATTATTAATTATACAATATTATATAATATTATATATATATATATTAATATTATATTATATAAAAATTATTTCACATAGATATGCGAGGAACGAAGAAACAAACAAAAAGAATTCGAAATGGAATTGATGATAAAAAGGGAAAAATACAAAATGATGGTTAGTGAATAATGATTTAATTTATTAATAATAAGAATAAACAATAAGTACAATTTTTTTTTATAAAATATTTTTTTTTCTAAAAGATAATGGAGGATCGAGAAACCAAGAGAATGGAAAGTAGAGATGAAGAAGAAGAAAAAGAATTGACCGAAGATTGGAACTTCATAAATTATGAGATTATTTAATATCGTCTGATAAAAATCAAACAAAAAGACGCATACACATATGGCAATTATACTTTTTTATCCGAAAATAAATTTTTTATAATTGAAGAACCTCACACAGTTTTAGCATTTGTGCGTAATAAAATGAATATCCAAATGAAAATGATATTACAATTAATATTTATTAGGAGTTCCGTAATGTTTAAACAAATGTACTGTTGTTTAAATAATTATGAGACAATCGAAAGTATAAATTATTTTACCTGTACAGAAGAAGACAAAATGTTTCGATGTTTATACGTGACTGTAAAAAAATAATACTGATTCTTATAATATGTTTCTCTTTTTTGTTTTGAATTACTATTCATACATTAATTGAAAATAAAAATAATAAATGAAAGACAAGAAATATTAGAATAAATTAATTGTTATTATTATTAAAATCTATTTTACACGTAATAATGCTAGTAGCATAAAATATTGAAAAATATTGAATACATGTGTATTTAATATTAAAAAGACATTAAATCTCTTTTTTTTAGTAGCACAAAATATTGAAAAATATTGAATGCATGTGTATTTGATATTAAAAAAACATTAAATCTCTTTTTAATATTAAATACACATGTATTCAATATTTTTCAATATTTTGTGCTACTAGAGAATCGTCGAAATTAAATTATTTTATATAAATAAAAGAAAAGTCATTCACATTTTCTCTTTATCTTTCTTTTTTTTT